CTCTTTAAAAGGTAACCAGTATGGAAAAAAGTTTGGATGGCATTTACCACATCTTGTTTGATGGTAGTCCAGAATTTTTGAAAGAATAAAGGTGACATACCATCAATCCCAGGAGCTTTGTCCGGATTCATAGAGAAAACAACAGATTTAATTTCGTCTTCCAAGACTGGTTTGAGCAAGTTTTCATTCATTTCATCCGTGATAGAGTGTGGTATACCATCCAGTACTTCAGTTAAGTCCCCTCCCTCATTCCCATTCAGAAGATTCCGGTAATAGTCCACATTTCTTTGCACAACTTCTCCTCACCTTCAGTCCATGTACCATTGTCTCGCTGTAATTTGTTCAGCCTATTTCGCCTTCGCCGACCTTGAACCAAGGCATGGAAATATTTTGTATTTTTATCTCCCTCCCTGAGCCATTGGATCCTTGATTTCTGCTGCCAGTATTGTTCTTCCTCGTGGTATGCGTCCTTCAATTGTCTCTTTAGAGATGCCTTAAAACCATTTCTGGTGCTCCCTGTTGACTTTTTCAGCTCACTCAATTGAAATTGAATATTCTCTATCTTCTGCCTAGAGTTTGTTTGGAACCTGTTCTTCCATTTACTGAGAGCTAGACGGCAGTTTTTTATCTTGCTAGTAACTTGATACATTCTAGATCCTTGAGTCTCCTGCTGCCATGCCTCCCTGATCACATCCCCAATGTCTGCTTTTTGTAGCCACGTCTTGTCAAAATAAAATCTTTTACGCCGCCGACTAGAGTTCGGCTTAGTGTCTATGATCAAAATGCTGTGATCAGATGCATAAGAATCTATATGTCTGCACACTATGTTCTCATAAACCTGTGACCAAGAGAGACTACAAAGACCCCTATCTAATCGCTGTTTGATCTCCCCCGTATCTTCCCAATTGTTACACCAAGTCCATGGATGTCCAGTGAATCCAATATCCATAAGTTGATTTCCATTAATGAATTGCTTGAAATCCTGAAAACTTGTTTCCTGTCTGTAAATACCACCCCATTTCTCTTCGTTGGAAATGATATCATTAAAGTCACCAGCTAAGATCCATCTTTCTCCCCACAGAGATTTCCTTCTTTCAATGACTTTCCACTGTTGTTTCCTAATGTGATTGTCGCAACTCGCATAAATGCCAACAAACCACCAATCAGAATTATTTTCCAAATCCACCACATGCGCCTCTATGGTGAATGCAGTCTTCAAAACTTGAAGAACCTTAACTTCCTCTTTCCACAATAGGGCCAGCCCGCCTGCCTTGTTCATTGTTTCAACAACAACCATCTCATCAAATCTTAAAATGTTTTTCACCTTTTTCATGTAAATTGTCCTATTTTTAGTCTCACTTAAAAACACCATGCTTGGAGAGAAGAGGTTATTCACCTCCCTTAGCTGGAAAATTGTCAAGGGACTCCCCACTCCTTGACAATTCCACACTTGAACTCTCATTTACCCTTTGGGGCCCAAACAGGCATGGACCATTCGCCATCAAAAGCATTCTGCTCTAAACCCCCAGAAACATCCCTCTTAGATCTTTTCAAAATCTGAATATCAGGCTCAACATTCTCCATAGTCTCATCCAATTCATTGCTTTTCCTTTTCCCTTGATCTGCCAATACCCCCAAGTTGATACTTATTCCTTTAAGCGTCTGTCTCCTTTTTATGGGTGACCTCAGAGACCTTTGAATCCTTTTGGTCTGCTTGTGAACTACCACTTGCTTCCTATCTGTACTGCCCATATCGACTTGCATGAGTGTTACCTCATTGTTTCCCTCCTCGAGTCCAGGTTGCGAAACCTTCTGGATTCCCTTCTCCTTCTGGATACACCCTATATCCTGTTCCATCCCAACCTTCACTTCTACAAGCTGATTCATTCCCCCTTCGTAAGAAATTTTAGAAGTGCTAGCTTCATCAACTCCCTCCAAAATTGAGGAGGGTGTAATATCTATACGTGCGTCAGGCAAAGGCTCTGCAGGGTTAATTTGTTGGTCCTGTTGCTGAGTTACACTCGCAGGTACCTCATCTAATCCTCTAGAATCATCACTACCCATGTTGACCCCCCTCTCATTATCTACCCAATTCCCATCCTGGTACCTCCAGTGATGTTGTTGGGGGTTATATCTAACACCTATTTGATTGTTCTGCGTATACAGTTTTCCATTTGCATTCCCTGCCCTCATCCAAATACCATATTGGTTATCCTTTTTCCTTTCGCTCTCACCCAATAACAATCCACATGATCTCTCACTGTGTCCGATTCTTCCACAGCTGTAACAAAAATCTGGGCAATGCTCGTACTTAAAGTTCACCCATTTAACTCCTCCTGCCACTTTAATTGTTGTCCCTCGCAGAAGAGGTTGGTCAATGTCCACCAGTGCCGCTATCTTAATATGCCTTCCTTCTTTTCCCCCTGTTTGTGGTATAATGACATCCCTAACCTGATTGAACACAGAGCCAATCTTCTTGCCAATATCCTTTGAAATCCAGTGAACAGGGAGGTTCCATACTTGCACCCAAAGGGGTGCCAAGTTAAAAGCTTTGTCATCCTCCTCAATCCCCTCGTACCACCTGTTAACAACCATGATTTGATTATCCAATATCCAAGGGCCTCCCTTAGCAATACGTTCCCGATCATTTTCCTTAGGCATAAAAAACTGGAACAGATTTGGGCCGAGTTCCGACACTGTCAGATCTTTAGGGTACCCCCAAGCTGTAGTAACGAAATTCTTGACCCCCGTATAATTGGCTACTTTCTCACCCACAATCTTCCCTATCAAACTACTTTGACATTCTGTTATACCTGAAGATAGCTCATCTCTCCCCACTTCTGTTATTTGTAACTCCTTGCTCGAAAGTGTAAAGCTTCTCAAAATGTCAGTAATATCCTCAGCCATGAGACTTAACACAATGTACTGCTGGTATACCTCTCACTCTCACACCAATAATCTCAATGAAAACCCGGTAATTCCCAGAGGAAAACCGAAGAAAATATGCTTTTCTCAAGGTAAATGTCTATCTGGTAGGCAACAGAAAAAGGAAAAACAGAGTACAATGCACCTACTGCTAATGCACCTAAACTACCAGACAAGGCAAGAAGAGACTATGGCAATAAGCTTACCTATCTGCTGTCGTAGCCACTCCATGAATGCTGCTCCTTCATGCTTGGTTTAGTGTATGATTGTTGAGTATGGTTTGACAGATCTGGACCACAGCCTCTGAGCTAAAGAAACTTTGTGAGCACAGTGACTCGTCAGCTCCCACTTACTAATACTAGAATCCGACAATAATTCATGACCGCTTGCTGGATTAGTACTTGGAGATTACCTAAAAGTGAAAAAGTTTGAACCTTTATAAACAATGAAAAGCTTCCACCTAGGGAAGAGATGCTCTCTTTTTAGAGAGAGAAAGGGCCCCTACTAGAGAGAGGATTACTCAAAATCCTTTTTGTGGGATATACACATACTTGCTTGTCATCAATTGATATTTCCTTTTTCTTTCTCTTATTTTTCAATTTTTCCTTTGTGATATAGGAGGATGTGGCCTCCAAACAGGAAAGAAGGAAATTATTCAGCTCAAATTATACAGGCAAGTCCAGAAGGCAGTTCTTGTCCGAGACCAAGAGAAATTTTTATGAATCATGTGCTATTAATTATTGTTGTTATCTTGTCAGGAGACCAGCTCTTGCCAGTTCCTGTCACTTAAGATATTACTAATGGATTCTAAAATGGGATATTCTTTCCATATTACACCTCTAATGAACATCCCAACAAGGTACACTAGTCAGAGAATCTTATTAAACTTCTAATTACTGTTCTAAATTCCTTATTTGACAAGTACAGAACTGTCATAGGCAGTCAAGTAAGGCAGTCCACAAAGAAATCCATGGATGAGGGGCACGGACGCTTGCAACCTGCAACCGTCCCTGGCAGTTTACGGTCATGATTTGATCAAAAAAATTTGTAAGATTCAGATTTCATTTTGTACATTGTTTTTAATAATATGTGTGAAATTCACAAAATTTTGTTCTAAAGTTACGCGTTGTTGAAAGTAAATTACATCATGTGCAAATAGAGTTACGCCGTGTGCAAAATGTACATAACCGTCAGAAAACGGTTGCTTCTGCAACAGTTCTAGCCCCGAGTCCGAAATCCATCGATTATTTTAAAGATGAAATTGAATACCATAGACAATAACTTGACATTATTTTGAGCCTCCAACTTCTTTAATCAAAACATACATCTATATCCATACTTATAAAATACCATGAGCTTAGTAAAAGCAGAATTTTGTCTTACTAGGAAAGGGAGGAGACAAGGAAGGGGAAAGGAGGAGAAAAGAGGCCGGAGAAGAGAGGGAGGGAGGAAAAGGAAGACAAAGTAGAGAGGAAGACAAAGTAGAGACGAGAACAGAGAGGGGTGGTCGAGGTGGTGGGTGATAATGGTGAAAAATACTTCAAAAAAATTTTAAATTTTAAAAATATCCAAAATACATCATCTAAAAGGACTAAAATACCTCTAAGAATATTTCAAAAAAATATATCAAAAAACACGTATCAATCTACAGTAAAAATTTTTTATTACACAGTTACAGTAAACTTTTTAAAAAAATACCTAATCTATATGGAACTAGAGCCACACTTTTTAATTTCATGATCACAATTTTAGAAATAAAAAGAGAAATAATGTAAAGCACAAGGAGAAAAGACTTTCAAAATTTTCATCAAAACATCGAATATTCATTTAAAAAATATTATGGAAATGTTTTCCTACATAGAATAGAATACATTTTTACGAATTACATCAAACCTCGTAAAAAAAAAAAGGATCTTAATAAATTCTCAAGTAAAGTCCACGCCTCTGATCAGTCCAGTCCGCTAATCCAGCGCCAGCCTACCAAAACCCAAAAAAAAAAAAAAAAAAAATCCACTGCGTCATATGATTCTCTGACGTCACCGTTTACAAAAGCCCTTCTTGTTCTCATTTTGCCTTAAACCCTATTTTTTTTATCTATGACGCCTCATTTTCCCGCCAAAATTCCATCTCCATAATCGAACTTCATCGGAATTTTGTAAAAAACCAATCCGATTGAATGATAAGTATTTGATTACTGAGAAGACGAAGAAGAAGACGGCGACGGCGACGAAGAGTTTGGCGTGAAATTTCGAATATGACCGCCAAGGTCACTTCCAGAGATGTTCAAGAGATTGTTTCCAAACTCTCCTCCGATAAAGCTAAAGCCAGAGAAGTAATTGATATTAATTTTTGATTATGATTTCGCAATTTGTTCTAAAAATGAACTAATTTTTTTTTAAATTTTTGTGATATAGGATGGGATAAAGCTGTTGAATACTTGGCTTGAAGGCGAAAGATCGATTGTATTTTGTAAATACATCTCGGAAAAATCTGCATTGCTTAAACCTGATGAACTTCCTCACTGTAAGAAATACTTTTTTCATCAGTATTCATATTTATTCATTTTTTGAAATTTAATGAATAATCGAATGGTTAATTTGATTGATGTTTTGAGCAGCGGAGACGTGGCCTTTTATTATATCGTTGCTTGCACAATGTGTGACGCTGGAGATACAATCAAGCAAAAAGCGTTTGCCGAAATTAGGTTTTGCGAAGACTCTTAGGATTGTAGTTCAACGTGCTGAGGATCGTAAATTTTCCGGTTTGTATTGATATAGCTGCATTTTTCCCGGTTTGTTGTGAAATTGATTGAATTATTGGTATTAGTTGAAAATATGTTAAGATTCTAATATGTGGAACTCTTGGTAAGAACTTCAGATTAGGTTTATTTAGTAATGTAATAGATATATATATTCCCCTTCGTAGTGAGATTGATTGAATCATTGAATTTAATTTTGTTAAGTTGCATGAGCTTGAGGAAATATCCAAGAATTCTGTTTTGGTAGAAAATTGGAATAAACCTTCACATTGTTTCTGGTTAGTATAATCGTAGAAACCTATATACCCTCCGTAATGAATTTGTTTGAGTTATTAAGATTAGTTTGATTAAGATGTGGTAGAGAAATATATTAAGATTCTCATGTGGTAGAACTATGGGAAGAACTTCACATAATTTCCGGTTAGTGAAATGGTGGATAGAAATGTTTCCCTTGATCGTGAATTTGATTAAATTATTGATATAAATTTAGTTAGCTAGTTCGCATCAGCTCAAGGAAATATGTGAAGATTCTAACATGTAGGACTTTAGGAAAAATTCATATTAGTTCTAGTGAGTGTTATGATGGATATAGATATTCCCTTGGTCGTGCATTTAGTTGAATTAATGTGATTAATCTAGATAATTTGCATCAGGTTGTGAAAACATGAGAAGATACTGATATGGTAAAACTCTGGAAAAAGCTTTACGGTTTTCATTTTTCATATCCCAAATATCTTAGAAATGTGAAAAAAAAAACTGAGTTCTGTTGCCATTATATTTCCTATTGATTATGTAAACGATCTAACAGCTGTCTATATTAGAATGATATAGTTGTTGTTGGATTATTTGCAGGCAAGAATTTGCTTCTTGTTCCTGTTGTGAAATTGCTTTTTAATCACATCTGGGATGTCTTAAGAGATGTCCCCAGCTTTCAATCTGAGTATGGGGTCATTCTCCGGCACCTGTTGCAAGTACAACATTATCGATTACATATCAGAAAGCGTGTATACTCTGGTGAGTATGCTTTTCCTACTGTTGTATAGATCTTATATCAGTTATGGTTTGCTGTTATTTTTTCTGAAGTTCCTTTTTTTGATTTTGGTCAAAGGTCTTGTGCTTTTGTATATGGAAAAAGTGGAAACAAGCTTGGATGTGAAAACTAGTAGCTACTCGAATCCTAAAGAGGAGGTCTTTCGTTGCATTTTAACTCTTCACTCTCTTCTTGAAAATCCTCCTGGGGATTTTCCTGCTGATCTTCGAGGGGACATTGTCAAGAGCTTCATTGGAATTTTCTGTCATATCAGGTAATATTTCCTGAGTCTTCTCAGCACAATTCACTTTTTCCTTTTGGTGTGGTGATATGGCTTTAAGCTGGAATTCCATTTGCTAAACTTTTTCTGCTGGATGCAAGGGAGGAGGGGAAAATTTCACGCAAGCTAATTGAATGCCTCAACACATATTTGTTAAAGGATGGTCCAAATTTGGATTCCCAAAACCTTGAAATCCATGATTCTGTTCAGCAATTTGTGTTCCGCTGCTGGTTAACTACACATGATCGAAGCTTAAAGGTGTTTTATGCCTTGCATAGTAACCTTTCGCTAATTCCGCATATCAGAATTGGCCTAAAAGTTTTCTCCTGGCCTTTTTTTGCAGGATGCACTTGTTCTTTATGCAAGGTTGCAACTGAATTTGACCAGGGTTACTGGTGATGGGAATGCTTTGTTAGAACAACTCGAGGAGGTGCTAAGCAAGGAACTGGATCAAATGACTACTTCCAGCAGTAATTTACCCTGGTTAGTTCATGTTTCTTCAATGTACGGGTTGAAAATTTCTTTGGAGTTTTATTGCAAAATTTGTCTATTCCACTGTTTGTAGGAATGATATAACAAGAGATGAAAAATGTGGTATCTTAACATGTTCACAGCAAAGGTTCTTGGAGCTTGCAGCTGTTGTTTTTTGGCGGGTATGTGCTCTGCAATTTTCATGATTCTATAGCAGCATTTATGCTGTGCTTTGTTCCCTTCTTCCTTCATATGCTTATTTCTTTCTTTAGGGTTCTATAGTATTTTTCAATGTCTTTAGAACCAGCTTCTTCAACTTTGAGGCTTTTCTTTATGAGATTTTTTGCTTTTTCCCTGTAAATTATCAACATGTAATTCCTAAGGCACTTTTTGCAACTAAAGTATACATGTTGGTTGCCCTGGCTACTCAACTTCTTGTCTTTTAACCAGATGGAGTTTGCCAAAGTTTAAAGACTGTTGCACTTAAGGTGAATGTTACTCAATATTCTGACTTCCTTTCTTCAGGCATGCGCTAACACATCGAAACCAGCATCAGCTGAAAAACGAGCAAGGAGAGAGCACATGGTGGTACAAGTGAAAGACGGGCTGATGAATGGAAAGTGGTCATGGTGGGTTTCATAGAGTATTTGTAATGGAGGGAGATTTTAAAATTGGGGATCATTTGTTTCTTTAGAGATTGATTTTGGAAGCATTTGTTTTCTGGAAACATCTTTCTTATCGTGTAATACATTTCTTTTGCTTTCCTTTCTTCCTTTTTCATACTATCTTCAGTTTCCCCATTCTTCAAAGTGCACTCTGGAGTTTGTCAAAATAGAACATGATGGGATGCTTTCTATTTTGTTTTCTTTAGTTGGTGGTCTGAAATCAAAATTTTTTTTTTTTTTATTTAGAAGCAAATATTTTTCTTAAAATTCATTTTTTGGGTCAAGATGACTTGGTGTCACTCTATGGTTCTTTCTGAAAGAAATTATCCTCATTAATAAAAGCAAGTCTAGGGTGCAGTGCTCTTTGTTGTCAGTTGATTACTGTTTTGGATCAGTGTGAGCCACTGTCTTCTTACAAATAGTGTTTTGGTTTTATTGTTTTTTGTGAGATGTGATTAACTTAATTATGCTTCAGTAATACTCGCATAGTCTTACTTTATTTTGTGGGTAATATTGACCGTTTGTTTGGCAGGCATGCTGCTTTCTGTTTTCTTATTCGTAATTACTCTAGTCGCATCAGAAAGGATCTTATCATCTATTGGTTTGAAAGCATATGTGCAAGCTTTGACAGGTAGATATTAGTCGGCATATGATACTATATGGTTTCTATTTTGCTAAGTACAGTTGTTCCTTTTTGAAGGTGAACAATTTCATATATCAGAAGGTATCATTTATTGCTTGGGATGGAAGTTGGGTGTGGGGATGCGTTTCTTAAGTCCATGCCATTTTTTTGTTGTTACTCAAATAATGTGCTCTGTTAATTGCTCTGATGTGTAAATGTGATACTCATTTGTCAAATATTTCTATTGCTTTATTGAAATGCTTTAATGGCTGACCTTCTAAACATACAGTTAATCACGTTGCATCGTCAATTTCTCATATTCTTTGATGTGGAGACATGTTCTCCTATCGTTACACAGTACACCTAGTTTGCGTAAATGCTTTTCTCAAATTCAGTGATAACATGGGATGCTACGTTTTCCAACAGAATCATAAATGATGCAAATGTGGAGCATACTTATGATGGCCTGCTGTGGACTTTGCGGTAAGTTACTTGCATCTAACATGAAGTGGAGTCATATTGGTGAAGATATTGTGCTGCCCTTACGTATCTTTTTTTCAACACTTTACAATAGTGTATGTGATTTTAAGTAGTTAACTTTTTTGAAAGTTTAAACTCAATACTCCTTAGTTGGTACAATGTGTCATTTGATTCTTACATTTCCCAATGATTTTTTCCCATGAACTTATGTGCATCTGTAGGAGTCTGCAGAGACTTTCTTCTTTGCTGCTTTTTCCTAGTTCAAGAGGGGACCTTTCACCAAAGTCATCTTTTTTCATGAACGAGGTAATTGGTGAATACTTGGTTTGATTTACAGCCAATAGCAATCATAGTTCTGATCATTGAGGAAATGTTTGATGATCTTAAGTTTTAGACCTCGTTTTGTATTTGTTCATCAAGTTAGCTGCACAGTATCAGCTGCTTTAGTGCTCCATGTATAAAATTTAAGCTACACCAAAAGGATTTTAGAAACCTTCTATGTTCTTTCTTGCAAGTTCATTGGTTCGAAAACTGTGTTCGACACTGGATTCTGCTGTGTACTGGCATATATCTTCCAATGACATGTGAACAGTAAACATGTTGGCTAATATAAGCAAATGATCGTTTAGTGTAGGTTTCGGGGGCCATTTACTTTATGTGATAATGGTGGCCGTGTTCTTTGACCTGGTGGTTAAATCTTTGGGTTGTAGTTTTTGAGTCTGTGGTGGCAGTGTTGGTGTTATTGACTCCAATTTTGGCTTTGCTGGTAGCAGTGTCCACCTCCCCAATGTTTCTGTTTGACTTAAGTGTAATTTCAAGAATTTTTTTGAGTGGTCTCTATATTATGCTACCCTGATGGGGGTTACTGTCATCAAAATTGCAATTCAAATTCGAGCTTATATAGAAGAACAACTACAGATATTTGTGTAGATAACGTTGGCATTGGTTTGGATGGAGGAAGAACTGCAAAATATTTTTAGAAGGCTTGTATTTTAAGAAACTGGCAACTTCTAATTTAGTCTCCTAAGCCTCTGATAATTGCTTCATTTGTATAGTGTAAATGCAGATTGTGCAACTATATCATATCTTCTTATTATCTGTTGTTTGATTTTATTGACTTCGCTGTTGGGGAAACTTCTGCAGTTTGGCAAATTTTGGCATACAATATGGAGCTGTACTGTTCGTGGTTTGCCAATATTCAGTAATATCACTTCAGTTGTAAGTTTTGGTCTACAGATGTCATCTTCTAAGCATACCTATTAGTGTCTATTCTACGATAGGTAATCTGTTGGCACATTACACTTATTTGGTAAAGATTGTTAAATGGATAACAATAGACAATGGCTACACGTCACTCATACCTGATTTAGATAAGTTGACACATTACACTTATTTGGTAAAGATTGTTAAATGGATAACAATATACAATGGCTACACAGGTCACTCATACTCCACTTGTACTCTTGAAATTTCATTTATCATATTGTATTTTGCAAATTATGACATCAATGAACTGTTAAGAGTTTTGGGGGAAAATTCTGTACTTAATTTTGGGTTGGTGAACGGTAAGGTGGGGAAGAAGAAGGGATTTAGGAGATCTGGAGGAAGAAGAACAAAACAACTGAACAAATGACTCAAATTTTTAGTAATCATCTTAATGAAGAATAACCTAGTAACAAGAGTACTTATAAGTGACAAACTTTCCTAGAAGATGGAAACCTATCATGAATTGAGATCCTATTTGCCATTCTAATACACAAGCAAAATACTTGTAAAATTTTTCTGGAACTTCCTATTACAATTGCAACTCCAATTAGTTTCCTAGTGTAATCAAATAACAAAATAAGAGTCAATGACACGTTTTTCAGAACTTCTTATGAGTAAACAAAAGACCAAAATACTCCTTTAAGATTTAAAATTCTATAATTTACTAAACTCAGACACTTAAGTATCTACTACTATAACACTTAAATAAAGAATCTTAATTGATGCAGTCCAACTTCCAAATTGGCTGTAATCTTTGCCAGATGTCTAATTGAAGCTGAAGAAAGACAATCTTTTAACTTAAAATCTTTTTGAGCTCTTTGTTGACTGCATCATCAACGTAATAGAGCTCTGAAATATCTAAAGAATATTGCCTTTTTCTGGCTTTTCTGTGTTTAGGCTATGTAGTGATTGATGAGTGAGAAAAGAGAAAGGCAGAGGGTTGTGGGTTGGGATGGGAATGAAGTTTCAAAAAGAATGGCATTTGGAAGACATTCGTTAAATGGAAGTTGTCATCTCTTTATTTAACAATTGTATTTTTATTAGCAAATAGCAGCTTCAATCTTGGTCTGGTTAGCATTTTTAATAAAAATTGTTAAGTTTAAGGGAGAATCTGCTTTCGATGTTTTTACGACTGAAACAAAAGATATTGCATGAACTTGATGATTCTACTTGTAACTGCTCCTAGGTTTTAATTTCCATTACCTTAATAATGGGTTGCGGTACATGTGTTCAGGGCAACTCATAAATTAGTCACAATTGATATTCATTTACAGATAACTCCTTGAGTAATTTAAATTAATAGGATGTTTGAGCTTCAAAAGGGATTTAGATAATAAATTATTGTTCGTGAGATATAGAATGTTTACGTATATAATATTTGATGGTCAGGATATTGATTCTTTTTTGAGAACCTTAATTATCTTCAGAATAAAGTAAAACGGCACTCGCTACCATTATTATGTAGCAATGTGCCATATCTGAAGTCCTCCCCCCCCCCCCCCCTTCTTATTGGGAATTCTTCATGCACACACAGACTAGATCTCAACTTTTCAGGAAAGTTGCTACTCACTTGCTTATCTGTTGTCAGAACTTCTTGATGCTCAGATACTAGAAATATTTGGGTGCTGATTATGCTTCCTATTTATACACATTTACATTTTGCTTTATGTTCAGGCGGAAGCCGCTTTAGTGCTCCTTCGCAACATGATATTGAGCGTAAGTAGAATATTGTTATTTACTTAAGATCCTTTTCTATTAGGCATATCTGTTTTATCAATGCAAAACATGTCTTTAGAGGCATATCTGCTAGTGGCATCTATGCAATTCCCATATAATTTTTCTGATGACATCATGTTTCCAGGATAAGCTCATTACATTTTCTGTTCCTCGAGATATATGGGATCTCCGGTTATTCACTCATTTACCATCAGCGTAAGATTTGCTTGACTGTACACACTAACTGTATACACATAGTTTTTGTACTTCTGTACATTCAGCCTCTTTGAGTGTGGGTTCTTTGTGCAGTCTTCATAAAAACATAAAATGTTTGCTTACTGGTGCTCTTTGTACGGCATTGGATCATTTGAACATTGTCCATGAAAGAGAAGTGGCTCCTAGTCTTCCTGCTCTTTATGGTTTCAATTTTGGTATTTATTTAGGAAACTTTGTGACAAAATAATAGTTGTTCTATCTAATATTTGCATTTTAGGAAATTGTTTCCAACCTTCTCTTGCTGGTGCTGAAAGTTACCCAGCCCTTCAACTTTTGGCATAATTTTTTCTTTAGTTATGGTGGTGACATGCTCATAGGGCATACAGTCTCCAGTTAAAGATGTCATCCATGAAATAGAGTTTGTGATAGAAATTGGTGTTCTCTGAGCATTGGTTTCTTAAATACATTTGGTTTAGTGTCATAAGAGTGTCCAAGGGTTCTTTTATATGAATACCAATTCCAGAAATATGCCATAGTCATTTTGGCATTTGGAACTTTTATTGACTTTCAATAGGTTCCTATTGCAAACAATTCGTTACGAAGTCCTTTGACTTAGCATGCTTTTCTAGCGACATTCCCTATCTTGGAAAATAACAGTATGTGCTCATTTTGAGATAGTAATTGTGGTGACTAGATTTACCTTTCTATGCAAGCTCCTTTATATATCTTTACTGTCATATTGAATTTGCAGTTGCCTAAACCAGTAATATAGTGATTGCAATTTTGTTTCTCATGAGGATGAAACCCTTAACATTCATAAGAAACTGTTGATGTTTATCCTGGATGCTAATTACCATTTTTTTAGCAACAGTATGATGAAACAAGAAAAAGAAGTCTAGCAGCTTTTAATTGATTGGTTAAGCACAACATGGAAAAGTCTCTTCCTCTTTCTTCAATTAAAATAACTTCAGTATGAAAAGCCAATTAGTCCGATATTGTGCAGCATGGTGATTTTGGTGTTTTCTGCTGTTCCATTTTTAGCGTCTTTCCATCTCTTTATCGGGACACACATGAAAGGGTCTTGATGCCTCAGGCTCTTTATAAGTTAAAAGTCTTGTATATCTTCCTTCCTCTTTTTTGAAGATAAATTTATCCTCATAAATTCATTACTTGGCTTTCATATCCCACTGCGAATATCTTCCTCCTTTTGTTTCAATGTAAATAATTGCAAGTCCAATATTGTGTAGCATAGTGTACATGATTCTGGTGTTCTTTCTGTTAAAATAAGATTTATTCTTATCAATTCATTACTTGCCTTTTCATGTCCGACTGCATGGATCTAAGATCTATTAGGTTCACCTTTGGTGACTTTATTTTATTTTACTTTTGGTATCATGTAAAATGTAACAGCTCTCTGACTTTGGGTCGTGACTTCTTTCAGATCTGTTTTGTGCTTTGTGTCTTGCTACTTCTCTAGTAGAGCCTCTCAAGTAAGTGCTCAACTGGCTACTTCTCTTAGGCTTGTCTATGATAATATTTCTGGTACATTTATGCTGGAAAAACGATACTTGTGGTGATAATTTTCTTTCTGTTTTGTTACAAGTAATACTGGTTTTCAGCTTTCATAAAGACGGCTTTTCCACTAAGAAGTATTGGAGACATTTGGTGTTTTTCAGCTAACATATAAACTGCTATCTTAAGATTGTTTGGGGTATTAAGCTTGGTGCCTCGGTCACTAATTTTGTGTTTCTATTGCCATACAACTATTGTATAAGCTTCTTTGGTCAATCTAATTATCTAGTTGGTTCATTTTATAATGTTACTTGGCGGGTACGTTGTTGAGTCTTGCTAAGTGGAAAATTAGTTTTGTTGAGTGGAAGCAGCATACTGTGATATGCATCCAAAGATTTCATACATGTAGTTTTGTGCTAAAGGATTGCACAAACAGTACTTTTACATTGTGCCATAATTTTAATATGTATTTTGTCCAGAATCAGTGTTTTTTGGTTAAACAGTTTATATTTTAGAAACTATTCTCCTGTTTAAGCTAGGCTTAAGCGCATATGACGAAAAGTTCAGACTTCATCCTGTTTTTGTTGTTGCCAAGATCATAACATGAAGAGTTTGAATTATCCTGGAGAAGAGTTTAAAAGACAAGCTTAAGAGAGGAGTGCATATGCTTCATGTTGTTCAAATTATGGATTTGATGCTAATCTAATGCACAATAATTTGGGGCTGGATTAATAGAATAGTTTAGATGGCCAATGCATTTAATCTTCTCATTCTTTTTAGTACTTTCTCTCAATAAGCTGCATCGTTGAGATTGTTCTTCCACATTTTGCACTTGAACATAGGTGTTATTTTCATATGCAAGTCTGATACTTGTTATCTTGACAGGGTGATCTCCATGAGGCTTTGCATGTCAGACAGAATCTCTTAAAAGCTGTTTTAGCTCTTCTGAACTGGAAGGTGTGTTTATATGTGCTGATCTTTTAGATACTTGGCATTTTATAGGACAATGCATGTCCCTGTTGTATGTCCACTAGATTCTCCTGCATGTATTTTGTCAGCTTTACTTCTTCAGTTGTGCCCTTTGTGAGAACTGCTAAAATGTGAAAAGCTGTGATTTTGTTGAACTAACATAAAGCTGAAAAACTTTTGTACCCTGTGTGTTTTTTGTTAGGGTGGCAATAGTGGGACTTGAATTTGTTTTAATGTACATTAATAACTTTTTGTTATATAGTCTCTGAGTCAATAGCATGTTTTTTTTTTGTAGTGAAGAAAAAGAATTTGATGAGACTCAATGATTTAAAAATGATTGCTTAATATTCTATTTGTATGTGGATGTTATATTGTTCATACTTCTAGACGAGCCAAGTTGACTGTAAACTTGTATTAGCAAATTAATCTGTCATCAAGCTGTTTCTTAGGATAGAAATTAAAAATAACAATATGTATTGAAATTTATTTAGATACTTTTTAATATTGTTTCACGATTATGTTATGAGATATTAGAAGGTTACTGTTGTTTTAGGAACTTTAAATGGTAAATGAAGCAGCGATAATAGAATTAGAGTGCCAATATTATCACCCTTCTGTCATAGCAGCGTGAAAATGAATTAAACATTCATTTAGTTGGTAGGGAATTTAACTCCCAAAATGTTGCTCTAAAACTTGTTGATTGTTGCCTTTTTTGTTGTTTGCAGGAGTCCTCTATGTTAAATGACCAATTGGTGGTGATGTTGCCGCCAGCTGTTTATGCTCTTTGTGCTGGTTGTGCTCCTTTGTCACACTCTGTTCCTGAAGCTGGAATGAACTGGGTTATGGTATGTTTATCTTTTTATTCTTGTGTTTGTTATATATTTTTTTAATGTTTTATCTTTTTATGAATTTGGATAAGTGGTGAATTGCCACTGTTATTTAGGCAGAAGAACAGGAGCAAGAAAATGTGCATGAGTTTTGTGAACTCTCTGTGGAAGTCCTTGCAAGCATTAGTCATGAATCCACTCCTCAGGTGCTACAGTTGGTAGCTTTTGCTTCATTTCATGAAAGGTGCCTGTGTTATGTTGTCTGATTATCAGTTGATGTCATGAAATCAGGATTTTCTACCTGAATGCTGCCAAAATGTGCGTCTTCCAATGAAGTTAAGAGATTTGCTATGTCATGAAGTGGAAACTCGTACTCTTGAAGCTCTAAAGGAGATAGAGATTAAGAAGATGCTCCTTTCTGATATCTTCTTGACATGCGCTCTCTTATCTAATTTGATTTACTGCTCATGTTCAATGAGGTTTGTTAATCTACTATATGAAAATGCTCTCTCTCTCTCTCTCTCTCTCTCTATATTTATATATATATCTCGGCTTTTTGGTTTTGTGTTTTTGCTTATATTCCATACAAATTGGACGAAGTGTGGTGACATTCTTGCAACTTTTGAAACTAGACTTGTGTAATCACATTGGTGGTGTTCTTATTTGATTATTTCACACGGTTTTGTTTTCTGATTTTGGAAAATCAGTTTTTTTGGAGTCATCATTTACTTTTGTCCTAGATTTTAGATGTTTTAATAGTCAAAAAAAAGCTAAAATATATAATCTATTCAGGAGTAGCTTCTGATTATAATTTATTAACTTTTTGCATAACTCTAAATTTGTCCTTTTCTTTTAGTTTTTGAAGTGTCTTCTTCTGCTTTCAAATTTTTGCGTGGATTAGGTTTATTTTGTTATTAACGAGTGAATTTGACTTTTTCATGAAAATTGACTAGTCTATGCTTTCTATGTTGGATAATTAAGCAGAATTTACTTCTGATTCTGGTTAAAATGCAGGTTTTGTTCTTCTGAAGTATAAGGCATTCTTGATTCATTTTGAATTTACATGTTTTAGGGTTGCATTATTTATACCTTTTCTACAATTGTGCATGTATGCAGATTGTAGAATTGTACTCAAGTGGAAAAATCTGATTTGTCCTTTTCTTTCATTTGTTGAATTGTCTTTCTCAGCTTCCAAATTTTTTCATGGAATTAGGTGTAATTTGTTATTCACAAGTTAGTTTGACTTTTTGCATGAGAATTTAGTACTCTTATGTTTCGTATGTTAATTAAGTGTCTCAATCTTTTGTGCACTTTCAGGCATAGAGATGAGAAGTCCTATTTCTTAACCAAGCTGGGAGAGTACATGATAGGGTTGTTGGATCAGTCTGCTTCAATCTTAGAAAGAACTCATAACGATATCATATGTGGTTGTGCAGGCTCCAGTCCTGTTTTTAATAGCATGGATTCTATTGTTGCTTCGTTTAACAGTTTTGTTTCCTCTCCTTTTTTTAGCAAATGGAGAGATAAGAATGATATCGACGTTGTAATCTATACTGGGATTGTAGAATCTATTGAGAGACTTCTGAAGGGTTTAGCTAACCTATATGATGCGTGTTCTGACAATGGAAAAGATGTTTGTTCAGGAGTAGATCTTCCTGATGATTTTGATAATAAGATGTTACAGAATGATCCAGCCGATAATAGTAAAAGCATCATTGTGGATATGGAGTTGGACGTCAACAGTGATTCTAAAGACATGGATATTTTAAATTTGGATGGGAAAGTTACTCATGGGTTTGCTTTTTCATCTGAAAATCTGAAGATGGATGTTTTGTCTTTCATTTCCAGTTTTTTCTCAGTTTTGCCTTCTCTAACATGGGATACCTTGTTTGACCTTATTGAAAAGGACGGCAACCAAAGGGTATGTTATGTTTAACTTACAGTGTTTCTTTTAAGAGATTGTTATTGACATTGCAATACTGGTACCATCATTTTGGTACATAAATATGATATTGAACAGAATTTTCCATCAGGTGCTGGAAAATCTTGTTTCCTGTTTATGCCAGCATCCTCACTGGTCTTCCCATAGAAGAGTTTCTGAATTGGTACTGTAATGGATTGAGTCTTATTTTGGCAATTCTAGCTGCAGTTTTCTTTTTCTTTGAACTTTGAAGGCTGTACTTATTAATTTTCATCTTAATCAATTCTTTTCTCCACAGATTATGTCTCTGAATAATGTTGTAGATATGCAAGCAAACCTCAAACTCCAGTGCATTCGTACCCTTGATGCCATCTGCAGTTTGGTGCGCAACATCTTGTTGGCAAGAACTGCAAAGGATAAAAATGTCTCTTCATTATGGGATAGAATATCTGAAGAGGTATTTAGTGTTGACAAATGCTTGACTGAAACAGTTTGGGGTGTCTTACTGAGGATATAAGTCTGTCATTTGTATGCTTTTATTCTTGAGTTATGGTTCTTGATATGCATTTCTGTGCACGTGTATTGGACATTCATATGTACATAACTGTGAAAATGTGTCATAACAGGTATATCATCTACCAAAGCTCCAGTATGTTTTGAGTGCTTGTTTTGTACTTTTAAGACATGGTCAAAAGATAAAACACGAAAGAAACGGAAAAGTATAAATTCCATCTTCTTTCCACAAGTTCTCTAACATAATTAGGTTCTCTTAAATTTGTATTGAACAGTCAGAGGAGATGATGAGGAGAATAGTCTTGTCAAATTGAGTAGTGTAAATAAAAGTTGGTGTCATATGTGACCTTGAGAAAGGCATGTACTGATAAAATTTTAATGCTGAAAATAATAAGCAATCTCCTGGATGTATTCATTATCTTGGCTGCACTCACTGTTTTCACAAGTTCATCAATAGAAGTCGGCAGTGGAGGATAATTTTTGGGGCTAGTCTTTAGCAAGTCCAATGTTTGCATTTCAGGCATGTATCTACATTATTATTTGGTCTCTAGTTGTATTTGTGTTTTCCTAGTTTATAACTGCATCTGAAGCATTGAATTTTACTGGTGCAAGTTTCTGGTTGTTTCTATCATTTTTGTTGTGAATACGAGGCAAAACAGGGAGCTGTTTTGTTATTTTTAAGATTCTATTAAGAAGTCTGTGATTCTTTATCATTTGTAGAATGAGATGTTCCTGAATATCTGAATTTTCTCTTGAACTGACAGGAATTGATTTCTCTTGGAGATTTGATTAACAAAGTTGATGAGAAGAATCTAGTTGATTGGTGCGGGCGTACTAAGCTTATTGGTTGCATATGTGATTTTGTGTTGCTTAAACCTGAAATTGGTCAGGTGATTACTTCTTTTTCTTGTTTTGTTGAGAAAATTGAGTGTGGAATGACATTTTATGTATTATTCTCCTATAGCATTTGTTTGAGTTTCTTCTTGATCTTGATAAAGTGATTGTGTTGCATTTGTTTTAGTCCATGATTGAGAAGTTGCTTGGTATGCTTCGAGATTCTGATTACCGAGTTCGGTTCTGCCTGGCACAACGAATTGGCATATTATTCCAAACTTGGGACGGTCACAATGAACTCTTCCAAGATATATGGTAGGTTTTTCGAAGTTGCTTTGTAGCTTATTCTGTAAAAGCTTGTTTGGCTTGTTGACAGCTTTACAATGGTTCATGATGCATCCTTTCTGCTTCTAACTTCGTTTTAGTTTTTCTGTCATTCGCTGGCCTTCCTGGACTTTTTATAGCTAAAGTTGGAGACATGGTGGAATAGTATAACAGGGTCAGTTACAAAGATCATATGACTGTTGTCTGTATGTGTCTGTAGGCATTGTTAAGATATGATATTCTCTAAACAGTGCAGTTGGGAAGTTCTAGCCTTGTTTCTAGCTTGTTATGTATTCACCCAAGGAATACTTTCCTCTTTCTTATGTAGCTCTTACGTGTTAGCTTTTAAACAGATATGTTGATTGGCTACCATGTTTGTGATCTGTAGGCTGCTCTTTTGGTTTTGGGGCTCTAATTTTTAGCTTATAAATTGATGGATTTGGTTGTTTGTTATGGTTTATAACATTTTTCTTTTTTCATGTTAATTTGGTTTCCTGTCCTGTCCTGCCTTCGCCCACCCCAACAACTAGGATGACGTGTTTACATCACTCTTAAAATTTTTGTTACAGTTCCAATTTTGGTCCAAGGTTGGTGATTTTCTCAAAAGATAGAGTTGTTACAGCAAAGGAAGTTTTGGCTGCTGGTCCTCAGGCTGGATCCCTGTTGGAAACCACGATAATAACCCTCATGCATCTTGCAGTGGAGAGTGAGAAAATAGAGTTAGAGGTACTTTTCTTTTAGTATTTGCGTGTGGGGCTAGGTGGTCTGGTGTATCCGGTTTCTGTATCAGAGTAACCAAATATTGTTTTTGTATATCAGAGGAATTAAATGTTGTTTCTGTATACGCTGATGTGAAATAGAATACAAGGAACACCATCGAACCAACTTCAGTCTTGCCTCTATTTGAAGTCATGTAATTAACTGATAAAATAATTTGTGGATGTATTTTCCTGCTTGTCCTCCATTGTCACATTGCTTGATGTTGAAACTTCATATGCAGGCTGTTTTTATGATGTCTGTTGTTGCTGCAATTGATCCTTCTCAAAGGTAATAGGATCTTTGTGTGTTTTTCTTCTCTATCACCTGTTCCTTTATTTAGAATATTTCTAATTCTGTTTTCAGGGAATTGGTCACTGCTGTGCTTGATAATTTATCGAGAGAATTAAATTATACTAGCAGGGCAAAGGTGATAAAAAAAGGTTTTACTTGATTCCATTTCATATTCATTGTGAGTAGATAGCTTGTACCTTTTACTGATAGCTTGATTTTATGGAATTTACAGTATATGGAGGAGCTGATCGGGCCACTTCTTTTTTGGTGGGTTGCTTGTGGTGTAAGTTTAGTGGCACTTGTGGAGGTAATGCATCATTTCATGTTTTGGTGTAGAGTTATGACCTGCTCATAATTGTTCAATGTATAAAAATAATTTAATCTAATTCTGGTAAAATGTTGATCTTGTAGATAAGGGACCTGTTTGTCTCGAGTGTGGAACCTTGTAATTTCATCCTGTACTGTTGCCAATGGCTTCTTCCAGCTCTGCTCCTGAATGAGGACTTCTCCAATTTGAATTGGGTTGCTAAGGTAGGAAAATTTGTATTGCATATCTTTTATATCAAAGGTGAATCTGATTATTGTTAGCAAACTCATCTCTTAGTTTGCTGTTGAGCAAAATTACATTTTTCCTGCCTTGGTATATGTCTGCCTTGATTTTGACAGAATAAACTTTCAATTTGCACTAAAAAGTCTTTGAGGTGCTATGAGTATTTTCAGTATTAAGGGAGTACCGTTTTGAGTTTGTAATCCTCATGTTAACTTATATTTTAGCTGACAGATACAAGCACTTATTTCTTTTCAGATTGCCTGTCAGCCCCTAGCAACTTTGGTCAAGATTCACTTTGTGCATGTGTTTTCAGTTTGTATGGCACTGCATTGTAGTAAAAAGACTGGATGGAAAAAGGGATCAGCTGTGCTGGAAAGTTTGATTTTGAGGATTGCTGAGATATCTGAGAATGAGAGAGACAAGCTCATCAAAAGGCACATGGTATTATTCCTTTTGTTGGGATTCTTTTTGTAGTGTTGTCTGTAGTTCTTCAATTCCTCATGATTGATTTTCTAGCAATTGTGAATCCCATAAAAATTATTACTTGGATCAAATCAATCTCTTTTGAATCTCCATAGGTGCGGTTCCCTCTGCACTAGACAGAAACTGATCTCTCCTGATCTGAATCTTTTTCAACCAGTTTTTGCTATTCTTATCAAAATCACATGGGATTTGGTTCCTTTGCTTTTACTTGAGTATTAATCTGATCTGTGTTGGCCTAATATACCAACGAAATGTCATTTATGCCAGTAGTTAATTTAATTAACACCTACAAGAAAATTGTGCACCTTCAATAAAGCTATAACTATTTCCAAGTGATATTGAGTTGCTTTGTTCTTTTATCAAAAATAGTGCTTTTGGATTGTGATGGAAAGAGGTTTCCTACACCAGAGTATTTGTTGGATATTTTCATTGGGAATATGAAGCTTTTTTTTTCAAAAACTAATTATGACCGATTGTTGGTATTCATCGTTATCTCTTATTATAGATAGGGCCTTGTTTTTGTTTTTTCGACTATAGGGATTGCTTCTACCAAGGGGAGATAACTTTATGTTCTGATAGCTCTTTTTTTAATGTTTCCAATAGTTTGACTGAGTAAACATTAATTTTTTGTCACTTATCGCATTTTGCAATTTTTCATCTTTGTTTGGACTGAGATAATTTTACATTTTTTTAACAATGGAAGTGTATTTGCCCTTTTGCATTGTATGAAACTACCTCTCTACCTCATATATATCTCAATGCCTTTAGTTGTCCTTTTGTTGTTTGAAAAGCTACCTCATGAAGCTTTGATTTATATGCAAATATGTAGTGCCTAACAGCTTCTAGAAAGGAGTCTCCTTCTCAGCTTTTGTGCAAGGCCATGAAGTTCATCCCCATAAAATTTTTATTATGTTTTCTTTGATTTCTACTTCTGTTTTTCGGTTTTGATTGACTTATGCCCTAATCAGTTGCTGTAACAAAGTATATAGCATGTAAGATCTGTTATATGCCCTACTCAAATTGATGACGCTATATCAACCAAGTGAAGAACTTTTATCTTCATTTCTTTTCCCACTCTTCCCCAACACATTTTGGCATCTCTTTTTCCGTCCTAATTTTTTCACTTCTGTTCTGTCTTTATTTCTTTCTTTCTTCCTATGGAAGATAATGAAAGGGTTCTTGACACTGATTCTTTCATCAAGTGATGCTGTAGATTAGACATAACTGAAAACTCTGGACAAATCATATTATACGATTCTGATTGGTGGGGTGTGCCCTTTGCCTTTTGTCTAGGTCTGAGATCGCAAGAGACCTTGTTCCCCTATGGCTTGCGCTATATTTCTTTCTTTTTACCTTTTCCATCATTACTCCTTTTTGATTTGTCTGTCATGTGCTAGTGTTATTTAATAATCTCTACTGAGTGCTTCTGCAATAGCAGTTTCTTGCCATCCTAATGAATTTGGTGGCGTTAACATGAAAACATATTCTGACTTTTCAATGCCATCATTGTGCATGCAGGTTTCTATTGTCAACCATCTTTTTTCTCTTGCTGCTGCTTCTGCAGACCCTGCACCTCCTCTCTTTTCCAGAGATACGATTGTGCATGCCATTGAAACTGTTGTTGATGGATTCTTGGAGATGTTTGGCACCTCACCTTGACTCAGTTCTTTAGTTATTTCTTCATTTCTTCTTTCTCTTTTTACAAGTCTGAAGTATGTATTACTGTTATTTGCTTCAGGGAGGATCGTTCTAGAAGTGCTGGCCTGGTTGACAAAATTAATATTTTCCGACCTGATAGAGTATTTTCTGTAAGACTGCTGACTTTTGGTCTATTAGCTCAAAGAATAACTTATAGTACATGATTAATCATATGTAACTACTTTTGAACTTACTAATATGCAGTTTATAGTTGAGATGCATTACAAAGTTACTGCAGCAGCTCATCAAAGGCACAAATGTCATAGATTAGGTGGCATTGAGGTGCTAGTTAATGTACTTGGCCACAGAGCTGGTGTTTCAAGTAGTTTCATGTATGTTCTTATAACAATGCTGTAGTTCAATTTGCATGTCCCAGTATGTCCTACATGATTAATATATCTAAAACAATCTGTAAATCACATGCTGTATCTCTGTTTCACATGACCATTTTGTATTGTTTTGAGGTCATTTTTGCTATTTTAAAGAACTTTGAAAGGTCTAGCCTTTTAATGTTTTGGGTGAATTTGTAAATGTTGATTCTTTTAACATGTTTTTTATGCCTTCTCTCTCTCTCTCTCTGTTTTTTTTAAGATTTTTTTGGTTATCAATCCTGATTTTTGGGTAATGAGAAGAAAAAAGTTTGTAATCTCTTATACACTGTCTATGTCTAGCACTTATTTTGTAGAGCCTTCTCTCTGTGTGTGTATGTGTGTGTGTTTGTTTCTCTGTGTGTGTATGTCTCTCTCTCTCTCAATCTGTCTTTTGCTCTCTTACATAATAAATTTGGTCACTTAATAGATTTTGTAATGATAGGAATTCCACAGATCAGTGCTTGAGCTGATCCAGAGACCTAACATGTTGGAAAGAAAATTGTTGATATCCTGTCTAACCTGTTTTTTTGTAGAATGTCCTAATCGTATTGTGATAATGTGGATCATTATCATTGTTTATACTCTCTATAAGGTCAACACATACTTATTGTGGTATATAATCAGATTGGAGAATAAGTATTACAAAATGTCATGTCTGGTGAATGTTATGTAGAGCATGCAGTGTATGTTTTCCTAAGTGCCACACATGTATGCAATTGAAGATGTATGCAGTGTCATATGATATTGATACTGCTTATTGAACTTTAGATAAATCAACTAACAAAACAGTTTATAATTAGAATTTTCAAAAATAGCTCATAAAGCATATGGTTTTATACTACCAGTCTCTTGTTCTCCTGGCTTCTCTCTTTTTCCTCCTTTGAATTCTAAAGATACAAATCAAGTATTTAGGTTACAGATTATTTTTTCTTAAGTGATTTTAGATCCTTCGTTTTGCAAAATTTGAGTTGTAACATTAGATATATGTGATAAATTTATCAAAATTTCTTATTATTGTTCACATCTAAGTATAAATTGTTCATTTCTAAAATCAACTGGAGTGGAAGGTCATTGAATCGATGCGTCTAGAACTTCTAGGAAATTAATTTTTTTGGAGACTTATTCTTTCTGCTCTGGTTAATTGTTATGCTTCATGCTAAGTATGCTACTTCTGTTATTCTTGGATAGCAAAAATGGTTCTGTTATCCCGCAAGTTTGCTGCTTAATTTGATGTGGATTTGGTCGCCTGTATTTTTTCTTTTGTAAATAGAGAATGGAAATATTAGCAATCAAATTGCAAAAGCAAAAAAATCTTGCATAGCATGATTGGATGATCATGTTGAATGTATTCATGTTGTTGGAACGCCAATAGTTACGGTAAAAGCCCTTGCAGTGTTGCTTATGAATGCTAGAATTTTGGACCTTACCTTGGATCCCTGATTCATCTATTTTTCAATTCTGTTAAGGACTGGAAGCCACCCTGAAGTTTGAGTGAATTGTCCCCAATATTGGGGTATATTTTTCCTTGTTGTTACTTTGGAAAGCCTTTGTTATCAATTTTCCACTTTACCTACTCAAGAATTGTAAGAAGCAGGGCTTCCATTACTGTAGCTATCCAATTGCGTTATTACAATTATTGTTGCCACTATTATAATCTGTTTGTATATTTGCACTTTTCCCATTATTTTCCAAAATTGAGTACTCATTTATGCGAACCAGATTTTTGTTGAGTATTAATTTGACATTTGATTTTGTTAGTTACCTTCTCAACCTTGTTGGCCAATGTATTGGTCGGGATGCTTTGCTTAACCAATGTTGTCGTATTATTTCAACGCTGCTTAAGATTTACAAAGATTGTCCATCAGATGAGACTACACGCGTGCTCGGTGAACAACTTCAGGTAATGTTTCTAACTATTTCATTTGCAGTGATTTTTTTTGGGGGGGGGGGGGGTTATCTGCTGTTAGGTTTCTATTCTCATACTGTTGCCTTTGCTGATGCAGTTTTTGATATCTAAATTGGTTTTGTGTTATTCGCCATATGACAATGATGGTGAAAATCCCGTTGCTTGTTCATCTGATGTTCTGCCGCTGCTCCGTGAGCTTATTTTGCATTCTGATGCATCGCTTTATGAGTACATCAAGGTATCTTTCTCTGCCTTGTTTTCTGGAATAAAGGACTCTGTTTTTATGATGTAAGTTATGCAGTGTGGAGGAGAATATTTTAAAGGCTAGCCCTTTTTTTTTGTGTGGTAATCTAGCATCATAGACTGTTTTAATGTTCTTAAGTAATTTCATTTCAGGAGCTTGAGCCCTTGCCTGACTTGGATATGTTTTCTGACATACGAAAGTTCCATGAGGAATTATGTCTAGACTACTCAGCAAAGAATCACTTAGTAAATGTAAAGCCCTCTGGCAACTTTTGTGAATTTGATTGATTGTTATCATAATCTTAATTACCATCTTATCGTTTTTTTTCCTCAATTGGTGATTTCAGCTGGCAAAAAGGTCTCTCTACCTTCCACCAAGAGTACTTGTTTGGAGGTGCTTTCATGTCATTCCCTATATTCGTTGTATTTCTTTGTTCCATTACTTACAGAAGGTTTGGCTTGAAATGTATTAGGGTGTTAGTAGCAATAAGATGGGAAAATGATGTTAATACAGTAGTTATGTTCCCTGTTTTGAAATGTCTCTTTATGGTTTTAACCAGGTGTGTTAACTCATTCACATAGTGGATGTGTGGATTCTTTTATTTTTGATTCTGTTAGTTAAATGAGTTTCAGGAGCAGGAGTGATGTGCATGTTGCTTTCCAAGATGCTTTATTTCCTTATTCATCCCTTTTTCTGTTCCTGTCCTTTTCATTTTCTGTGTCACCTCCTTGTCTCTTTAACTAAGTATTTGGATATATGTTTCTTAAATGACTTATATTGGTAGGGATAGTCAACTCTAGTATACTCTTAAATCAATGTAGGAAGATCATTATTGACGTTTTTACATCTCAGACCTCGCAGCGATTGATTCTTTAGCACTTTGCTTGTTACTCCACTCATTCCAAATTAAGCGTTTTAGTTTGACATGCTTGGTTAGTAAGAGTGAAAGAGCTGAAAGTAAAATTTAGGTAGTTGTGACAAACATGTGGGAACATGTTGCCACTAATAGATGCAATTCATATGAAATATTTGAACAGCAGAATATAAGGTTCTCATTCAAAGGAAGCAGATTCAACTTGGAAAGAGAGGGAGTTATAAGGCAGTGCAATGCTTCATTTTGCTGCATTATTTGATGCTAAATGAAGTGGTTCACAACATCATAACTGAATGAGTTCACGGTGGTCATGACTAAACTGTATAATATCTTTGTAGGGAAACATTATCTTATGGATTTCTTGGTTTTGTTAATCTGAATGATCGGAATTTGGAGGTTTTTTTTTTCCACATGAGATAGAGAGAGAGAGAAAGAGAGATGGCCTAAAACATGATTGAATATAGCATGTTGACTGGCAGACTACTTGCTCACAGATCTTTAAGAACATGTTTTCTTGCTCAGGTGAGACGTAACTTTTGTGAATTATGTGGTCCTTTATGTTTAATTGAATCTAACAATAAGACTAGACCTTTTTTGTGGATGGTAGGAGCACGCTTGTTCCAAAGTTTATCCTCCAAACTCAAATTTGTTGGAGCATAACTTTGTAATGAGTACTAAGAATCAACCTCATAAATGATGCCTTTTGTTCTAAACTAAATAGATTTTAGGGTACTGGAAATGGAAGCAGGAAATCAGTAATGAGATTTGAGGAGTGCATGAAATTTTCTGTATTGCTGAAGTTAAAGAGTTGCCTGGAGCTAGAGGGCATTTCAGTTAATGGAAGAAGTGTACATGGTTTCATGCAGCTTGCTAGTCTTGCTTTTGATAATCATAATTATTGTTTCTTGCAGCCTTCAAGCGTTGCACAAAAGATTCTTTGAAGAGGAAGCTTGTCAAGGGTGGAAGAGAGCAAAACTTGGTTTTTTGAATGAATATTGGCACTCTGACCAAGATATTGTTTCTGCAATTTGGCATCTTGTTCGAATGTGTAGCTTGGATGATACTGACAACTTTGCCACATTGGTTTCTGATTTTGTGTCTAGGGTACTGCTATTTTTGTTTTCTCCTTTTCAAAATACTTCATTTGGGCATGTTCATATCTTTTGATGTCTGTTTCTGTTGGGATGCAGGTTGGTATTGATGATCCCCATCGCGTTGTTCTCCATCTCCCTGGGGAGATTAGCCATGCACCTCGCTTTGAAGAAGATAAAGCTGAAAAGGGAACAGATCGGCTTGTTCAACTGGATACAGTTGTATCTGACAAACTTTTGAATTCACTTATAAGGCTTTTGAAGAAGTATTTGATGGATGACTCTGTTAAGATAATTGATATGACATCTCAAGCTTTGCGGGTTTGTGTATAGAAAGCATTGATTTTACTTGTGTTGAAATGTGGACTTGATTTCCTTCTTTGGGCAGTTATTTTTGTATTGCATGTATAGGGTTGTAGAATTGGTCATTATTTGTGATCAAGCGAAATCTTATATTATTCCTTTGAGTTTGTCAAAGAGTTGACATCAGAGATGATCGTGTTTCTTGGGAGTTAAAGTTGTAATTCTGAAATTGGTAAGTTTTGGAATACGATCTCTCAAGAAAGTCGAAATTCTTGAGATGTCTTAGAATTTAGCTGAAGTATAAAAGTCAGTCGGTAAAGGTGGTGTTGCATTGCACTTTGAGGTAATAAGATGATAAATATCTTGTTAGTCTGGAGAAATTTCTCTTATTTGGTCTGAAAGTAGGATTCTCATGTCTTTTCCCATGTCGCACTTTCTTGTTGCTTGTCTTTAGAAATTTCCCTTTTTTGGTCTGAATGTAGGATTTCTCCTATCTTTCCGATGTTGCACTTTCTTGTTCAAGGAGTTATTAGCTTTAGAAATTTCTCTTATTTTGTCTGAAAGTAGGATTCTCTGGTCTTTTCCATCTTGCACTTTCTTGTTCCTTGTCTTTTGAAATTTCTCTTATTTGGTCTGAAGGCAGGGTTTCTCCTGTCTGTCTGATGTTGCGCTTTCTTGTTCAAGGAGTTATTTGCTTTTCATAATTGGAGATGGGGATTTTTAAAATCTCATATATTGGATTAGGGATTGTGGTGTTTGTCTTTCTGCTTATTGTACCTGATATTGGATTAGCTGTGATCCTTATTGTACCTGATATCTTGCAGTAATTGTAAATATGCAATCTTGAGACTTTATCTTTTGCTTCTCATTGGTATTGGATTTATTGAGCGCTTGATAGTTTAATTAAAATGATGTGATGATTATGGTGCCAATCTTGATGCTTGGTTTATAATGTTTCCTCTGTGGAGAATAATTTGCTGGCCTCTGTGGTATTTGTGGCTCCAAAAACTGATTTTTGGAGTAAGAAAAGTCTGATTTATGTACATTTTCTGAGCAGGGGATACTTTCAACAGAGAAAGGTCAAAGAGCTTTGCTATTATTTGATCAACATGAGAAATCTCTTATTGAGGTATGAGCAGTTCTTTTCAGGACCATTGTTGCACTGCATTTTGGAATAATTTTAGATCAAAATTAAACTGCATCACTGGATGGGTTATTTCATTAACTAGCTTCCTAGGATTAACTTAATTTGGAATGAAGTATTCAGACATGAATTTTAATATATTCCAAGTGTTATGGCAGTAATAGATTCATTGGAGCTTTGGCTGTATGTAACAAAGAGACTTTGGATTACAGCAATATCATCGGAGGTTTAAAGCCATGGCTCCTTTTCATTGCCATGTCTATCTGAAAATGCAAATATTTAGAGTAAAGGAGAGATATGAACTGCTTGTCTGTCATGAGTTAATATTGCCAGTCAACTAACATATCTTTTGATATCTTGTACTTAAAACTGTAGGGAAAGCTCTTGTAAAGCTAAATGATAGCTGATGCACAACTTCCGCTGGATTTTAGTTTTGTTTTTGGTGCATAAAATTCAAAGAATAAACTATGCATAAATATACTTTAGTTTTGACTGTCTTTTTAAGGCCCCCCTTGGGTCCCTGGAAAAATAGCTATTGGACTATTTTCAGCGCTGCTGCATTGCATTGTGGATTACTAGCATGTTTAGTAATTGATCAGATTACATGTGGCATTTGACGAAATAGTTATGAAATAAATGATACATATGAATCAGCTGGGCTTACAAGTTGGTGGCTTGTGGTATCATGTGCTTACAAAAGTCAACTTGTTGATTTGGTAGTTTGCTGAAGCCACTACATCATAATTCCAATAATTTTGCGCAAGTTTGTATGATGGATCCACATCATTTTTGCCTGTCTCCTAGTTGTATATGCATTTATAAATGTCTATAGATGTGTAGCCATCTATCTTTTATTATCTTTTGTCTATGAATACTTTGCAAGTGAGATTAAAACCTAGTACCACTAGAGTAATGTTCCTATTGAAAGGCTTGATTTTACAGTGTTTATTAAATTATGATCATGATCATTATATTTTGTACTTTTTCTGGCTGTATCTGTTGATAGATTGTTCCAGTAGTTATGGCTCTACATTTATTTCATGATGTAGGTTCACTCCAAGGGTGTCAACACGGAGCTCGTACAGAAACTGGTATCAGATCTGGAAGCAAAGTTCAATGGTATAACCCCCATGAGGAAATCTCTCTCTCTCTCTCTCTCTCTCTCTCTTGTGGTACCCTGGATGCATTTTGTGATGTTACCTTGTAGTAGAACCATCTCTCTAATCGTTTCTGCAAGTATCATTGGCTTCTTTCCCTTACCTTTTCCTTATGTTTTTTCCTAACTTGTTTTTCTTTCTTCCCTACTCTTCTGAAACTTATTCAAGTATCATCTGTCTTCCCATTCCTTTTATGATGATATTCTATGCTTGCACATTTTAGAAGAATTTTTATCACATATTTCCTTTTTATATAGAAAGACCCATAGGCGTAAGTCCAAATAGGACTCCCAAATTAATTAGTGCCTCTTAAATCTTCTGCTTTGATGTGCATATTCTGAAACTGATTTCAAAAACCACAAATCTTATGGTTGGCTTCAAAGCACCTGTTTAATTTCTTTACCCAAAATTCACTTCTCTATTCAATGGCATTTTAAAAGAATTTTTATCACATTTTTTATTTCCTTTTTATATAGAAAGACCCATAGGCATAAGTCCACATAGGACTCCTAAATTAATTAGTGCCTCTTAATCTTCTCCTTTGATATGCATATTCTGAAACTGGACACATTCAAAAACCACAAATATTATGGTTGGCTCCAAAGCACCTGTTTAATTTCTTTACCCAAAATTCACTCTCTATTCAATGGCATTTTATAGATTGTTCGGAAATTTGTGTGAGAAACGAGCTTAATCACAATGCTTAATATGGGGAAATGATAACAGAAATCATTGATTTAAACATCAATGATTTTTTTTCTCTATCGTTCTGGATTCTGAGATTCTGGACAAATCAGAACGAATATAGAAAAGAATTTGTCCTGTTTATAAACTTGAGCATTTGTTTAAGTTGGTAATATGCTATGTGTCAGCCACCTGTTTGGTAGCTACTAAGGAGTGGCAATGACAATGTGTATCAAGGACCACCTTGATGTTAATGTGTTTGTGAGGATATCGTTTTCTTGAACTAAAATTTGCAGCTGCACTGGAATTGGAACTTACCATTCCTTTTTATTCCCTGTCTTTTTTTTTGGGTTTTCCTTTTTTATTTTTTATTTTTTTCTTTCCATGCTTCTTGTTGGTATTTTCTAGCACAGAAGTTGCCTTTTCTTGGTCAATATAGTTTCACTCTCCTAAAATATTCTACCTGCATGCCACCTTCTACACTATCGGGCAGCAACTCTTTCTGCTATTGAACATTTTTGAGAAACTCTCATATGTAAAACACATCAAAATCGGCATCAACTGATTGTGGATTTTCTCAGGAACTAAATGAGAGCCAAATTTGTCCAGACAGTGAAAATATATCTTTATTGCTTCATCAGAGAAATAAAAACAGACTTCATGAAAACCAATAAGGCCCTGTATTCTTGGTTATTTTGCTTGGACATTTATCATAATTTGAGTCTTCCAACTCTGCCCAAGTTGTTTTTAACAACTCCCATTTCTTTCTGCCTTTGTTACTCGGCTCCATATCTCTCCTGTGAAGAGATGCTTTTCAGGCTGTCCATTGCAAGAACCCAAGCTTGGTAAAAATTGAGAAAGAAGAAATAGTGGGAAGGAAGCTAACTTGGAACTTGGAAGTTTCAGAGAGGGGAGAGAGAGAAGCACATTATATTTTTAACTTTTAGAGAATAGGGAATGAGAGTTGTTAGTGCCTGATGTGTTGGCTAATGGGTTTGTTGGCTTCAAGATCCAAAAGTGGGTAATTGGAATTTCCATGAGAGGTGTACTGAACACAGTCAATGGTAATCTGAAATTTGTATTCCCATTGACAACTATAAAACATCCCAACTTAGCGGGTGGTAGATTCAATAACTGAATGTACTTGTACTTCAGCTTTTTCCATCGTAAGAGCAGCACTGCAGATTCTATTAGTTCATGTTGTCAAAGGGTTTGTTAGAAGTCCTTAATAAGATAATGGTTTACATTAAGCAATATCCAGTTTTGTAGATGAGTTTTTTTTTTCCTTTGAAGGGGAGAGGTGGGATTTAAGAAGCCGGGAGGGGGAGGGGGGATATGAACCCTGGATCTCTACAAAATTTTTTTTGTAGATGAGGTTTTCATGACATATAATTCTATTACCATCCAAGTGTCTTTTGGAAGATTGTTTTGGTAGTTTGATTGCTGACAAACTTTGTCTAAGGATTGTAAGATATCCTATAGCTGTTGTGGTGCTGCAGATTCTTTATTTTATATCATTATTCCATATGTTTGTATGGCATATCAATCTTCCAAGTTTGTTGAGAGTACAAAGTTTCATAACAGCTGAAGCAATTTCTCTGGAGAACTCTGCTATGTGGAAGACTCGTGACAAAACTTTTGATATGTGGGTTTGTCCGCTGGTTTATGGACTGATTGGTTACTGTGATGATATTATCATAAGGTACTTCTTACCTGCATGGCTTTAGTAGTTATGGTGCTCTTCTGGCTTTTTAGGATTTTTTTGTTCTTTTTTTGTAAAGCATTTAATTAGAATTTTCCTGTTCTTTTCAGGTTATGTCAAGATATATGTTTGGTAAAATCTGAAGTTGCAGAGCTTTTGTTCCCAAGTGTCATGGTTAATCTAGCATGGAGAAAAGATTTGGATGTTGACCTATGCAAGTTGATATCTTTCCAGGTTGTCTTAAAAACCATTGCTGATCAATTTCTTTTGTAATTTTTAGTTTTCTTTGCCAATGCAATGAGTTGGTAAGAGTTAACCTTCGTGATTCATATAATCACACTGAATAGGCATGCTAATTCTATAAATGCCTGCAACAGCTGGATGACTTAATGTGTTAAGCCTCTTTCTTTGTAGTGTTATGGATGACCATTACCTATGTACTTCTCTTCCTTTAAGACTAACATTTTTATCTCTAATCCTCCTTTTCCCTAGGTTTTGGCTTGAAGTTTGCATGAATTTGAGGTAGTGGGCGAATTGATACTATTGGCAGTGTTCTATAAGATTTACAAAGTTAGACAATGTTGGTGGAAATGTTAACCATGATGATTCTTCTGGGATTAGGAGTTGGCTGAGGGGAGAACATGAACATAGAATTTCATTGATTTTCTTCTCATTGTCCTGAAGTTTGTAGCTATCTGTATTTGCTCTCATGATATGGTTAACGCATTTATTCAATGGAAATACTGATCTGGACACTAATGCTTTTGGACAAGGAGTAGATATAGGGATTTTGGGTATAATGAGCTTAGCTGTGGTTAAACTCAGGATATAACAGAGAGAGAGAGAGAGAGAGAGAGAGCATATATTTTTGCTGTGGTTAGCTCTGTTGTAAGCTTGAAATTTGGCTTCTATACTGCCTTTAGTAGGTGACCTTCATTTTATTGACATTTGACCCCTGTGGAAGCCTGCCAATGGGGCCAATCCCAAGCTTCTTCCTGTGTCCACTAAGATTATGACTTGAGTTTGGTGACAAGGCACCACAGGGCATCCTTTGGTGGAAAAGGATGAGACTGACGCATAGCTATGATCGAGAGAGATACTCCAGTATCTTCTTATTGCTTTTGGTTTTCATTGTTTCCTTGCTCTCTTAGGGTAAAGGAGCCATCAAAATGCGATGGGGCTGCCAAGTGTCATCTCGTTGCCTCTTCTTCTTTTGAGTAGTGCAAGCTACAAGATTAGTTGGGCAGTTAGACCAAACTTACTACCCAAACTTTTCCATAAGGTTTATTTCTTAGTTTTAGGTTATGATTTATTTTCTAATGTTGACTTTGATTGTAACTTAATAGGTTAATCCAATGCTGTAGATGCTTGGTATTAGAATCTTTAGAGTTAGTTAATGCTATGATGTTGAATGTCTCATACATGACTTGTGGAGCAAATTATATAATATGAATGTAAATTTTCATGTAACAGAATTATCATATCTGTTCTTCATAACTTGTTCATAACCTCTTGAATACTTAGTGCCGTCAAACTCTAATAGCATTAATCTGTCACCGCATAAGTCTCTTCTGAAGTCCTGTATTGTTTCGTTTTCTGATGTGGTTCATGTTGTACTTAAATTTTGTATTGTTCTGTTTTGAATGATAACATTCCTTCCTTTTTGATTTGTGACCCCTTGGGATTATAGCAGTTTGATCGATTGCATTGTTAGATGAAACACTTATACTGTGAATATGGTCAGGTTCGGGAAAACATATTCATTGAGTCCAATACGCTGATGAAATCAATAAAAGTTATGTTGGATGCACTTAATCAGCTTCGGCTGTGTCATATGCTGGAGAGATCCACATCATTGCCTGGGTCATGTAAGCGAGAAAACTCAAAGGTAACCTTATACATGCGTGTTATTTGTGGGTTTAATCAACTTTGTTGCTAAAAAGTGGAAACGTAAACTAGAGGAGTTCTTTTGTTTCATTTAATGAAAATCAACTGAAATGATATACTGATGGATGATTCAACAGCACACTAAGGCTTCTAGTTATGGATCAAAATCCCATTCTACATCAGGGAAGCCGAAGGACAATTCGTCATCTAGATTGGTAACATCAACATTATCGTGGGAAAAGGTATGTTTGTTATCCTGGTAAATTATGGACCCTGTTTCCAAAAGATCAGTTCCTCCTTTTGTTCTTATTTCATCTCACTGCTTATCATGGCATATAGCAGTGTCTCTGAATTAAGTATTACCTTTTTCAAATATGGATCTCTGATCATAAATGTGTTTCCAAGTTCTTCACCCCGAAAAAAAAAAAGAAGAAGAAGAAGAACAAAAATGAAAGATAAAATTTGAAGGGTGAATATTATGGTAAACCAGGCGGAATTGGTACTTCCTAGAGCCTAAATTGCAGGAGCTTGTTTTTCGGGTTTCCTTGCGTTTGATAAAAATGCACTAATGTTGTATCAGGTATTGTGTCTCATCAGTCATTGCCTCTTCTTTTACAAATAAATAGCTTTAAATGTTACCAAATGATGAACAATGGATTGCAGACAGAAGCCCAAAGAGTTTATGGAGAATGTTTTTATTTGGCTGAGTATTTCTGGAAAAATTTTATCATTACTGGGCTTCATTTGACTTTTACTCTTCATCTTTTCTTTTCTATATCTCTCCCCACAGTCGGGAAGGGATGGAGATGGTATAAGAGGTCCTTTTACTTGACTATGCAACAAAATACCATCATGGGTTCAGGAGAGGTGAAATTTAATCACCACAATCATAGAGGAATAAAGTACAAACTTGCTTTTCCTGATTTTGATGTACGAAGTGAACAATTTTAAAGAACTAATTGGGGATAAGATGGATAGCTACAAAGTTGAAGTGTGTTGGTGCGGTGTGGTGAAATGAAGAACTGAATCTCTAGAAAACTCTAAGACAGTTTCATGACTTTGTGCATCCAATACTTGTAGATTGCGTAAAGATTTGGCAGGGTTTTTAATCAGATAAAGCCCATTTGCACCACAAACTTATGGGGTATCCGGCAAATAAAGTTTCTATTTGATGTATAAATGTCTTTGAAATCACAAGAACTTAGTGCAAACATTATTTGCTAGGGATTCTTTTAATTCTCATGCTTTAGAATATAGTCAGGGACACCATCATTGTCTGAACTGATATTGCAAAGTTAATAGGGATTTTTGTGGATATTTGTTGCTTTTATTTTTTATTGTTTATTTTTTGGAATTATCAATAGGAACATATTGTAGAGCAGATTCATGAATAAACCGTTAAATTTGTACCTTTGCTTTTCTAGCATGTTAAGATTGTGGAATGTTGTTTTCTTATGTCCTATGTTCTATTAGGTTTACTGGCTTCCTATTGATTATCTTGTGGTTGCAAAGTCTGCCATTGTAAGTATCAAAACTTCACTCTTTTTTTCATGGAAATGTGCTGTGGAAGTTGGTTGCCTTAACCGACCTTTTTTTTACTCATAGTTTCTGGTTTTGCCTGGCAGAATTGTGGTTCTTACTTTACTGCTGTTCTCTATGTGGAACACTGGTGTGAGCACCACTTTGATAGCCTCACACTAGGGAGCCCAGATTTCTCCCATCTTGAAATAGTGAGTTGTATTGCTTTTCCTCTGGAATTTCCTCTCTGCTTACTGTTAAAGTTGATTTCAACTAGTTTGTAGTTTTAGTTATGTGGCTAGAAAGAAGAAGGGATTGATTGGGATTTTGAATAGTAGAATATGTACTCTTGCATAGACGAAGCTTGTAATGTGAAGTTTCAAGAAATCCTAAGTGTTCTTTTTTCTGTAGCTGCCAAGCCACATTGAAATACTTGTCTCAGCAGTCACGCAAATCAATGAGCCTGATAGCCTCTATGGGATAATTCAATCTCACAAGGTCAGTTATTCTCTACATGCTACTGTTTACAAATTTTGTGAATTACAATCTTGTACCAACTTGTATATTGAACATACTGTTTCGAAATGCTGTTGAAAAGTAGCAAGTCAGGGGTTATAAATGGCTATGGATTGATGCTGAAATGCTTTTGTTGCTTGTGAATGTCATAGCATTTGGGGCGTAGCCTTTAGTAGGATGTGTTTTGGCCTTTTTTGAGCTAATTCGTCATATCATTATTAGTATTTTGTTATACCAGCTTCGAAATCATTTTACTAGTATATGAGTGGCCTAGAATATGTTGTGCAGAAAAAATTTCAGACATTATGGAGAACATTTCTCTTAGACAATGCCTAAAAATGCCATAGCACTAAGACTGCAACTTTTTTAAATATATCATAGTATTTCCCTAATCTTTGCTTCACCATCTTATTCTATCCACTGGGCTGGCAGCTTTTGGTTAATTTTGAGCATCCACATAAACAATTCTCTACTCGTCTGAATAAAGAACTTGGGGACTCTTATATCTCATTTGTTACATGGCCAAACTCTAATATCAAGTGGCATTTCACAAGCATCCCATTCATATTCAGATAAGAATCCTCAGTCATAAAATTGATATTGTTATAGCCTGTCTCTGTAAAGTGAAAGTGGAATTTTTCCTTAGTTTTTTCCTTTCCATTCACTAAGATCTCCAGTTTCATCGAATTTCTTCGAATAGTCCTTTTCTTCCAAAAAAAGGGAAGAAGGATCTTGTTTAATGGATCCCTCTGTACATGAAAAACTAATATGATGCATCAGGTGAACCTGGACCAGTGAACGGCATTTCTGCCTCTGCCTCTACGAATGGAAATCTAGGAATTTTGCAGATATATTTAGTGTTTTGTATAACCAAACATGTACTCCCTCCCTCCCAATCTTTTGGTCACATTTGGGGATCTGTGCTATTTGTCAACAGTTGTTTGTGGGGCCACAATTGTTCGGATAGTTGGTAAACATCCATTAGAGGTTCACGTGGTTTGATACTCCTAAGCAAAGCCACACTCTCCTTTTCTTACAGTCTTGGTAAACAAATGAAATATCAATTGGAGCCGACCAATAATTATTATTAAAAGCTTTTCCGACCACGTGAACAGTATGCATTTGTTGGAAAGATAAAAAATTTGTTCGTCATTTTGGTCAGTGACTAAAATTTTTTGACATAAGCCAAAAGGAAAAGCATGACACTCATTGTGGGACACCGGGAGTATCTTGCTGGAGCTTTGCACTCACGTAATTTACTTAATGAAATGGGTGAGGCAAGGGAGTTTATTGGTTGAAAATTTGCCAAAGCCTAAGTATCATCTAGTAGTTACTTAATACTGATGCATTAAACAACTTGTAGGTATTATTGTTATCAAGGGGATGATGTTATCCGGGTTCAACTTGTTCTGGTCTAAGTTATGAAGCACTGGAACAAGCTTACAATAGTGTTCCTCCAACAATTATCTTCTTCCCCAGTACTACTGTTTTGGCCGCAATAGCTGTGTAAATCAATTTTCTTCTTAAACTTTGTGAGTTATTATAAACAGTGAAATATACTGAAAATTTTCTCCCTAAAGTTTGTGAGTTGCCATAAGCAGTGAAAAATTGATGCTGAATTTATGGGAAAAAATTTTAAATTTTAGATTATTGCAATGAAAATAATTTAAACTTTATGTTTTTATTGAAAAATGATTGCTTCATAATTTGGCATTGCACTTGCATCCTAGTCCTTGAGAATTTTTGGACCATTTAAAATATCAGCACTTTATCCTCATTGTTGCATTTTTGGCCTTTGAAAGTTTATTGGTGGTTTTTTTGACAGTTGACCTCTCAAATAACCATGTTCGAACATGAAGGAAATTGGACTAAAGCCCTTGAGCACTATGATTTACTAGTACAATCGGGACTGAAGGAGCCAATAAGTGGCCATCCAAAAAGTCTTTCTTCTGACGAGTCTCAACCAGTGGTTCCAGCACTGCTTTCTAAATCAAAAGATCAGATTATGCAAAAGAGACCTTTTAAAGGTTTGATTAGATCTTTGCAGCAAATTGGCTGCACCCATGTGCTGGACGTATATTGCCAGGGATTAGCTTCTCTGAAAGGCCAACTTCAACACGATTTAGAATTCACTGAACTGCAGGTCTGTCTTATTTTATGTCATCAACGGACAGCCAGAACGAAATTGGTCTTTGTGTGTGTTTAGCAACAAATTAAGGCACACATACTGGGATGCCAATGTCTGCAGATTTTGGTTATCTTCTTTTGCTTCATGTGTTATACAATTTATTTTCTCCTGAATTGTGTTTGTCAAACTGTGCAGTATGAAGCTGCTTGGCGTGCTGGTAATTGGGATTTTTCTCTACTTAATGGTGTAGCTACTCCGGTTCTTGATCAAAAAATTAAATGTGGTCATTTTAATGAGAATTTGCACAGGTAATTTAACAAATAAATGGAAACTTTTAGTATCATTTTTATGCAGACTTCATGCTATGTGATTTAAGGCTGCTTCTGGCTACATATTACCGAATGAAATTGTCTCTTGACATTACACTACTATATCATTATCTCCTATCTGACCTCAATGTGGTTGCCTTTTCATTATTCCTTTATTTGCACTATTCCTAGTTTTTGGTGGGTCGGTGGGCTTTTTTTTTTGGGGATTCCTTGATTCTTGTCATTATGCTTTGCTCCACTACTGAGATAATGAGTGTGTTTGGATTATAAGTTATTTGAGATATTTTTATTGTAGCACTTTTTGTGATGTGATGTATGTGAGATAAAAAGGTAATTGGGAAGATAAAAAGGTGTATTGGAAATTACAATGGTGATGTAAGTAAATATATTTGGGCAAATAACTTACAATCCAAACACACTCAATCTTTTTCAACTCTTCATAAAGACGATGGAAAGTATGATCCTGTGATTTCAGTGCCTGAACTCTTTCTTTTCCTGCGAGTAGTTAGTTTTAGACTCGTAAAAACAAGAATTTTATTGTAATTTGCTTTCAAATGTTGGAGATGGGAGCACATGCATTGTTGAAAGACTTTTCTTTTTCAATCTATCTGAAAAGACCTACTGCATTGTTGGAAAAGCCAATATAATTTGCTACTGCAACTATTCATAACATTGATAATAAAGAGAAAAGCCACCAGGGGCCATACAATTGTGTGGATTTCCATATCAGGGTCTTATACTTTGTCTTTGAGGATGTGTGAGCAATCTTTTCGATGACTGATCTGTATAGTGTCTAGGAATTTGATATTATGATTGCAACATCTGGAGGTATCAACGGCTATCCAACCTAAGTGAGGGAGGTTTCTTCTCTTGAGGATCTGAGATTTCTTTCTTCATGTTAGATATGGTGCTTACCACAAAGCAAATTAATCTAAAAAATAGGCACTGCAAATGTTAATAATGCTCACTTCATAGCGCATTTTGTAATCTGTGCTTCCATCTTGTGAAGCAGCTGTTTAAGGGCTTTAGAGGAAGGGGAATTTGATGAGTTTCACACAAAATTGAGAGATTCCAAGAAGGTATTTAATGGTCTTGTGATTGGTCTTGACATTTGAATGACTTGCATTTTTGAATTGCATCATTTACAACATTTCTTGTCTCTCAGGAGCTTCTGCTGTCCATCTGTCATGCAAGTAAGGAGAGCACTGAATACATATACTCAGCCATGGTTAAACTTCAGGTAATCCATAGTTGAAGATTATACTGCTGTTCTTCTAATAGACACGGGGACATATTTATTCATATTTGTCCACTTCTGAAACAAGGAATTAAAATTATTGCTGAAAAGATTTCATTTGGTTGGCCTTGTAATCATCATTCTAGATTTATAACTCATGTTTCTACTTCCAATGTCGAGTTACATTGGCACCCTTTTAAATTGCCAAACTTGGTTAGCCTCATCTCTAACATCAATCCAACTAACTGACAAAAGTCCACCAGAAAATGATCTTATTGCAGATGAGGTTATACAAAGATTGTGAATTGCATAAGAGTCTCAGTTGGAAAGAAATGAGGAAGTTTTTCAGCAGAATTTGAAATTGAATTTGGTTTGGATTATGTAAAACTAAGATTCTTATCACATTTTCCTTGTAATCTTCATTTCTGGGTTTTGTTGCAGATCTTTTATCATGTTGGAATGGCTTGGGGTTTACGTTGGAGTATGTTATGCAAAAAAACAGTTGCTTCGTCTGTGACATTGAGGTTGTCATCTGAACCTATTGACCCCTTCATGGACCAGGTACTCTTGTGATTGAGATGTTTGCCTGTTAGTTGCTGTATCTGTTAATAAGTTCATGCTTTAGGTTCTTTATTCTCCTGACTATGCAGTGACATCAATCAGATTAAAACTCCAAATCAGCTTTTGACAGTTTTCCATTCCTTGACGATGGTTAATTTTGCTGTTTCGTGTTCATAAATTAGAATGCTTAACCTTTGGGCTCTATGCTGATTGACATGCCACCGAGTTTTGGATGCTTCCTTTAATTTTGCAATTAGCTGCAAGAAGAACAAGTTGCATGAAACATCTCCCCTGCCAAAAAGAAAATGTAAAACAAAAATATCATTTTTAATACAAACTGTTTGCATAGCTAGATGCAGTGCTGTTAATACACTTGTCTTGACAAATATTTTAGTCAGTTTGCATCCCCGTTAGTGCCAAGTAGATCTTCTAACAGTATCAGCAACAGAAGAAAATAAAGCCACTGCTGTTTTGCACCAAACAGAATAAATTAATAAAATAATAATGATGATTGTACTACTAAATAACTAAATAATCAAGACAAATATAAAATAAAGGGCCACCCTTGTATTAAGAAGAATGAAGTGGAAAAGGGCCATGAAAGTTGTTGAGCAAATGTTGAGCCATATCGAAAAAGATTAACAGAAGAAGCTTAAAGAACCAAAAGAAAGGCAAAGGAACTGGCTTAAGTCAAATTCCTGCATGAAGTACATGTACATTTTTGTTTTTCTGACCAGGTAATCTTAACGGTTTCTTCAGGTACAAACTTTTGGGATTTACTTCTTCCTCAAAGTTTTTCCAAACTTTTCTCATCAAATAACTAATTGTTAACATGTTCTGCTGAGAGGACAAAATAAATTGCCTTATCTTGAATGTCAAGTTCACATAATAGCATATAGCCAAGAGCTGAGTGACGAAAATGAGATTCACCCCTTCTTCCCTTGGTATTTACCATGTAATTCATGATTGTAACTATTTACCTTCACTGACACTCGAAACTTTTTTTTTTTTTTTTTCCAACTTGTAGCTGTCATGGCTGAATAAAGATTGGAGGCGAATATTGGAACAAGCGCAGTTGCACATGAATTTGCTAGAACCATTCATAGCATTCAGGAGGGTCTTATTTGAGATCTTAAATTGTAGAGACTTCAAATTGCAACATCTTCTGGAAGCAGCATCTACACTTCGGAAAGTAATAATCCTAAATTTCAGCAGTACTTCTGGAAGCAACCTGGTCTCCTTTGTCTGACATTTCCTCATGTTACATAGGGCATTCAGTTTTCTCAGGCTGCTGCATCTTTGCACGAATTTAAGTCCCTTTGCACAGCTATGGGGAAAGAACATTCCAATGTTTATTGGCATGGAAGGGTATGAACTTCTTTTCACAACTGTGGATTTATGTGATGCTCAAATCCAAAGCTCCTCTACTTTATCCCTCCATGAATTTTAGAGCTGGAGATAGGTTCCTGTGTTATGCATCATGTTCTCAATTGCTGTTGGATCAAGAAGCATTCAGCCAATATTTGGATATGGTTTTTGTCATACCCTTACTTTCATATTCATGTTGGCATGAACCAAATATTTGCTGTTGTTTTGGATTATTACAGGAGTGTTAAGTTGTCATGGTATATCTTCTTAATTGGATATTTAAGTTGTCATCTTTCCACAGAAAAATTTGTTCTCCAAATTGTTGCTTGGGTTGAATCACTACAGAAGATTTTCACTATTGTTGTTTTTTGTTATTTGCGGGTCCAAAACTTATTTCTGACCACTATTTCTTGAAGGTCTCAGTTCTCATTGAATTGGTAAAATGTTGGCTTTTCCAGAGATCTGGAAATTGCTTGTATATGATAGGTATATGATAGATTTTTTCTCTTAGCAGCTTGAAGAAGCTAAGCTTCTGCGGGCCCAAGGTCAGCATGAGATGGCAATAAACCTTGCTAAGTATATAGCCCAAGATTCCCAATTTGATGATTATACCTCAGATGTATTTCGCTTAGTTGGGAAATGGCTTGCCGAAACTCGTTCAAGCAAGTTAGTCTCACATCATTATAGGAGCCAGCAGTATCATATTGATTAGCCTGTCAACAAGTAGTTTTTGCTCTCTTGTGACAGCCTTTTTTGCAGTTCTAGGACTGTATTGGATAAATACCTGAAACATGCAGTATCACTGGCAGACAATCTCAAGGCTACAGACAGAAAGTCTATAGCAAAACAATGCCAAATGCATTTCCATCTTTCTCATTATGCTGATGCACTCTATCGTACTAATGAAGAGAGACTGAACTCCAATGAGTGGCAAGCAGCAATGCGCTTAAGGAAATTCAAGGTACATAATGAATGGAAGAAATCCATCATATTGAAGAAACTGAAATTGGAAGGAGTTCTGGGCTTTTGATATTCACTGTAACTTGCTTACTTATTGTAGGCAAAGGAGCTGAAAGCTCTAATTAAACGTCTTAAAAGTTCATCAAAGGCAAGGTCCTTCTCTAAATGTCGAATCTCAAGGTGCTGTTGCAAAAGAGTGCTTATGGACCTTTAGGTGGTGGCTGACTTTTCTGTACATGGTTTTAGGGAGAACAAACTGAGTATTCATTAAAAATACAAGAGCTGCAGAAGCAACTTGCAATGGATGGGGAAGAGGAAGAAAAGTTGCAGGTGGTGGCTAGTTATTTAGATTTTGTTAATATTCACATTGGTGCGAGTTCTCAATCATACTGTATTGTGGTCATATCTTCTGCTTGATGCTTTATTATATTATATTCATATTTGATTTGCCTAAGGAATAAAAGAGGGAGGAAAAGCGAATGACGAGAAAACAACAACAATGAAATTCATAATTCTAAATCCTTTTAATATGTATATGTTGAGCACTTCCATACCTTTTATTTGGTAAAGGTGTATTCGAGTGGTCATTTTGAATAGTGAATACCAACCAATCATTAGAGAGTGTTTATCTTTTCTCTTGTATACTGATATTCTATAACATGAAGGCATTTTACATTAAAACCCATAGTTAATATAATAGTAGTGAGAAAAGCCATAACTTCCTTCCTATTTTACTCTTTCTGGCTAAGATGCTTTAGTGGTTTATGACTGGAAAGGTACTTGTGCCGATGATCATATTATACTGAACAGTGTAACATGCATGTTTACTGGCCAATAGCTGCCCCTTATGTGGTGATCATTGAGTTTGACTGTGAGATATTATTGACCATTGGGTGTACAAGCCATCTCTTAAGAATAGTTGATGGTAACTTGGAACGTCAGAGCGTTCACTCACATAATTTGTCATTGCCTTTAAACTTACTGAAGAAGTGGAGTAATTCTAACTATTCTTAACTGCAATGGGTCTGACTTGTGGAAGCTTCCTAGCGCTTTCCTCTGTTGAGTAAATACAGTGGTCCAAAGGTTGACCCGTCTAGATCAGGTATTTGATGTGCCAAAATACTGGATGGATTTTCTTATGCATGCATTGTTTTCTACCGAGTTATCTAACAAATTATTGATGTTTAAATTGCTTCTGCTCCCTTTCATCTTTTATTTCTATTATCTATTTTAATCTCATCAGATGTTCTGGTACTTGGATTTTAGTCAAACCATGTTGATGTCTATTCTTGCTGAGCAGGAAGACAGGGACAACTTCTTAACTACTGCTTTAGAAGGGTATAAACGCTGTTTGGTCATTGGGGATGAATATGATGTCAGAGTGGTATGTATTCATAATCCAGGTTTTATTGTGGAAATAACTTACCAGCTTTGGTGCTTTGTACATTGTACATGAATGTTAGATGGAATGCTCTGCTTGGCACCATCTGCATAAGTACAATCACAATATTGCTAATAATTTGTTGGATTTCTTCGCACTAATAAATTGAATCATTTTTTTGAGATCTGTGAATAGAAATATCCAGATGAACTGTTTCTGTAGCAAGTCAATTCTTGGTACAGTCAGATGTATTGTAAGTTTGATCATTTTAATTGAGTTCTGGTTTGATCTTGAAACGGCATGTATATCGTTTCAGGTGTTTCGACTTGTTTCCTTGTGGTTTGGTCTTTCACCCAGGCCAATTGTTATCAATGGCATGATTAGCACAATCAAGGAGGTAAGCTGGAAAAATGGTATTAAATAATTATTCAACAATATTTGTTTGGACAGAGGTAATCAGGTATTAATTACTAATATAGTATTTCTCTTTAGGAAACTAGTCCTTTAATGTATAATTCGTTCGGTTCTTTGTGAAAACACTTCTTTGCCTTGCAATCAAAATGAGCGTGCAGGTTCAGTCTCACAAGTTCATACCATTGGCATACCAAATTGCTTCAAGAATGGGTAGCACAAAAGATCAGGGACCACATAGTTTTCAGGTTTTTAATTGATGTTTAGCTTGTGCTTTCCTCCTGATTTAAGTATGAGGTGTGTATGCATGCCATGCAATTTATCACCATAAAGTGGGTTTTCCTTTCTCTGCTAAATTTTATATAAATCTGTTTAATGTATGGAACATCTGCTTTGCAGTTTGCTTTGGTTTCTCTTGTGAAGAAAATGGCCATTGAACATCCTTATCATACCATATTCCAGGTATTTTATTTAGTATTCCTATAAGTTACACTGATGATATGTTTTTATACTTCTTACCTTTGGTGATTTAGTCCAAAGAAAGAATGTTTATTTTGTCCCATACAATTCAAATGAAAGGTGTAAGTTATTTCTGCTCCAGTCAACAAATTGAAGTGTGTTCATTATTATTTCTTCCGTTTTGTTTCCATTGTGGCTCTTAGCTCCTTGCTCTGGCAAATGGTGATCGGATTAAAGAGAAGCAGCGTAGTAGAAATTCATTTGTGGCGGATATGGACAAAAAGGTTGCTGCAGAAAATCTCTTGATAGAACTGCATTCATATCATGGGGATGTCATCAGACAAGTATAATCCTTCACCAGCTATTGTTTTTCGTATAATTTTTGAGCAACTATATTGAAGGTTTGGCTTCTTATTAGTTGCTACGCAATATTGTGTTTTATGTAGATGAAACAAATGGTGGAGATTTATATCAAACTTGCAGAAATGGAAACAAAGAGAGAGGTAAACCAAAAGTTGGTTATTTTTATTCCCTCTTCATTTATTTCCTTTGTTGCTACCAGTTACTCATAACTCAGTCTTAATTTGGTATTTAGTCTGGTTTCCAGTCACTGAAATGTTGTTGATGACTAATCACTAGATACTTTCAACAGGACACAAACAGAAAGGTTACACTACCTAGAGATATTCGTAGTGTTCGAGAACTCGAACTTGTAAGTACAGCACTTCTATCTGTTGTTTCTTGATGAGTGGGAATTAACCTGTTGAACTGCAGAATGGGAACCTTTCAATCATGCGGAATTGGAAGTTTAGTCTGATTTCTTATGTCTGGTCAAAAATTCGTCTCAAGAAGGGATGAGCAACGTCATTGGTAGTATTATGTCATGGAGCTTCCTGCTTATGTGTAAAAGTCCTGACAAGAATGTGCATGGGATATTTCAAATGAGTGTTGTACGAATGAACCTGTTTATGTGCAACCATATCTTTAAAACTTTCAACTACGTGTTCAGTTTATTTTCATTTTTCCCTTGGCATTCCTGAACAGAATTGATGTCAATTGTTTTGTCTGTCGTTTCACAACAATTAGGATTTTGTGTCCCAGCCTTGCTTTGGAGTAGTGCATCAGATATTCTGGTTTCTTGGTGTTCATGGATGGCCTTCCAACATATAGTCTATGTTCAAATATGGAATTTCTGGGTCAATGTAGTGAAAATAAATTCAGCATATGCTTGCTGGTGTTTGTTTATAAAACATCTAAATGATTTCCGTAAGATAATTAGATTTACAAATCCTGTTTGTTCTAATCTACAGAATTTGTTAAAGTACTATTTCATATGGTTATTAATCTGTTCAACTATGCCCTTCAACACTGTCCATGCCAATGACATGGATACGTGCATCTTCAGGTTCCTGTCATAACATCTAATTTTCCTGTTGACCGGAGTTGCCAATATTGTGAAGGATCTTTTCCTCACTTCAAAGGCTTTACAGATTCTGTCACGTAAGTATTGGGATAGGGGCCTTACGAGCTTCTTGTAGTTCTGCTACTGATTTCTCATAAATGTTGACTTTAGATCCATATGCTACAACTTTTCAGTGTGATGAATGGTATAAATGCGCCAAAAGCGGTTGAATGCTTGGGTTCTGATGGTAAAATGTATCGACAACTTGCAAAATCAGGCAATGATGACCTGCGGCAGGATGCTGTATGACTCCCTCTGCGTTCTGCTTTTTACTGATGTATCATGCTGTTTATAGTCTGAGTAGGATGCAAGATCATGTTATCTAGTTGGTCTTGGATATCACAGTGTGGAGAGTAATGTTCTTAGTAACAAAAATGAGGCAATTATTGAATGCTTAGCATGCATAACTGCCTAGTGTTTCCGTGAATCAAAGTCACAAATGTTAGGATAAAAGGGAAAGAAGTTGCATTGATTCTAATTTTAAGTTATAATAAATTGCATTGCAGCATGGTGAGCTGCAGATGAAAGATTTAGCCTGGTGACAAATTTTGGTTTTATCTTTGTTTTACAAATGCGTATTGATATTCCATTGTTGTATGAGTTAATTTTAAACAGATAATTTCTTTTTTCCTAACTGAAATTATATGGAATAATGTCCCTATTACCTATCAGCTTACAATAATTTAATTGCGTATTGATATTCCATTGTTGTACGAGTTAATTTTAAACAGATAATTTCTTGTTTCCTAACTCTAATTATATGGAACAATATCCCTATTACCTATCAGCTTACGATAATTTAATTGCGTATGACAACTTTTGCTATTACATGGAAATCTTGTTGTCTTGTATGCACTTTCAGATTCACTTAAAAGAACTTTTCTTTTCTTGTGTTGTCATGTCATTCTTGGGATATGCTTGATTGCATACACATGTTATCATATTATATTTGAAGCCTCATATGCATGGCATAACTGCACTAACAGAAATCTTGCAACATCTGCAGGTAATGGAACAGTTTTTCAGTTTGGTTAACACTTTCTTACAGAACCACCGGGAGACGTGGAAGAGAAGATTGAGAATACACACATATAAGGTGGTTATCTACAAAGATGAGGATATGTATTATTAGTCTGCAAAGATGAATGCATTCTTTTGCTACCAACTATAAACAACAGAATACATACAAATTTATGTTATCCCTGAGACAGGTAGTTCCTTTTACCCCATGTGCGGGCGTTATTGAATGGGTGACTGGCACTGTACCTCTAGGTGATTATCTTACCGGAAGGTTAGTAAAGTCACATTGACTTCATAGTTTTCAAGCGGCAAATATGATGTGGTAAAGCACTTACATACTAAATTTATAATTGATCTTACTTCCAGCACGAGAAATGGAGGAGCCCATGGACGCTATGGACAAGGAGATTGGACATTCCTCAAATGTAGGCATCACATGGCAACGGCAAGTAGCATATAGCCTTATCTTTATTGTTTCCTTTTCTTTTTTGACCAGAACTTTCAATCCATTCCCTGCACTATTTCTAATTTGTTTAGAAAAATCAGAATCCAAATGATTGATTTACTAAGGTTTTGCATAGACCAATAGAAGCAAGCTTATATAGATCAGGTTTCTACTTTGTTGGAGTTAATTGTTGTATGTAGATGAACATCACTTTCCACAATGCTGGGATGTAGTTCTCTAAGACAAAGGCATTTGTTCCTTAGACTCACATAAAACCTTTGAACTGTAATTGGTCCATTTACTTTACCATCATTGACATTTAGAAATTAGGAACCGCAACTTTAAACATGAAGTGAAAACCACCAGTCGACATCATTTCTATATTTTTCCGCAAACTTGACTGTGCATATGCAAATGAGGTTTAAGAGGTTTGGAACAGAAACTTTAATAATGACCACGGACCTCCAAGTAGGTAATTTGATGTTTTGATTTGCCATTGATTAAACATCACTTCAATGGCCTGAGTAATGTTTTAATTGCCTATTGCTGTTGTTGGACCAGTGAAATACAATTATTGATGGTTTGTTGGATTCTGGAATAGAAAAATATTGCACAAAGATACAGCAGGGAGAATTTGAAAATTTCCCTTGTTAGTTTCCATGATATTGAGTGGGGAATGTTTTTCCAAATAATGTGGTTCAGATGTTTGGAACCAAAGGTGAAGTTTTTGCTTTGGTGTGTCAGAGCACATTCACTTTCTTTGTGATCTCCTAATGCTTTCATATCACTGTACAGTTTCCCAATATGGTCTATGGAACTGCTTTCTCTTCCTCATCTTTTATTAGTGTTGACAATCTTTGCAGATCATCCTCTTTTATTTTAGTGGCATTGTCATGGTTGATTTTGTTCTGCTGAATTAAATTTTGCATATCTGTCATTCTAAACTTATTTTAGTTTCAAATGACCATAATGAAATTGTTTTTTGATGGTGTTGTAACTGCAAGACTTTTGAAAGGCGCCAATATTATTTAATTAATCTTTTTCCAGTCAGAAGTAGTTTGTGAACAGTTGAAAGTGGTCTGTGCTTCTGGTTAAGATGACCTCTTTGGGGTTTGAATTCCTTTTTGCTCTTTTTTTTGTGTTTTTGGTGGGGGGAGGGGGAGCAGCTGTTGCTGCCTCTTGATTTGTAAGAGAATATTAGGCAATAGTCGCATGCCAGGAAGATTAGCCAAGAGGATCATGTTTTTCTGTCCTTTTACGAAGAATAAAATATGCATATTAACCCCTAGAATTTTCTACTCCGCATAAAACTAGCCGATTCGTTATCTTATCGAAGTATTTAGCTTATTGCTGGATTGGGTGGTATTCAGAGCCAGCAATAAGTTATTGAATGTCACCCGCAATTAGAAGAAGAGCGCTTGCCACCGTGGTGTGGCTAAGTGTAAACCGTCCCCGCTTGCTGCCTTTCATATTCTGATGTTTCTTATTCCTGTTTCAAACATAATACTTTGTTGCTGAAATGGATTGTGTCTGCAGGAAAGTGACAAGCGCAGGGCTTTCCAAGAAGTTTGTGAGAACTTCAGGTTTCTTACTTCTGTCTTGTCTACCTTGTGTTTGAATTTGAGCTAAGTCATTTGATGAATCCATTTTCTTTTAGTGCAGGCCGGTCATGCATTACTTCTTCCTAGAAAGATTTCTACATCCAGCTAATTGGTTTGAAAAGAGGCTTGCTTATACAAGAAGTGTGGCTACTAGTTCAATGGTGAGCGTGAGTGGCAGATATTTATTTGTTTTTGGGTAGCAAGCCTGGAAATCATGTCATTTGGTTCCTTATTAGTGCAGTCATTCCTCGTTTTCCATCATTTTGTCTCTCATTTATTACCAAACATGGAACCTCTTAAGCAGGCTGCTCCCCGAACATTACTTGACTATTGGCAGTATAAGTCAAAGTTTCAATTAACTAAAGCCTTCTTCTGATATTCAGGTTGGTTACATTGTTGGGCTTGGAGATCGACATTCCATGAACATACTTATTGATCAAGCAACTGCAGAAGTAGTTCATATAGATCTTGGTGTAGCATTTGAGCAAGGCCTGATGCTGAAAACACCTGAGAGGGTTTGTTCCTCTTACTCGAGTCCGTCCAAATAATGCAGTCTTTCAGTTACTGAAGATCTTTGTGCTTGGCTTATAAACATTCTTTTGTAGGTGCCATTCCGGTTGACTAGGGATATCATAGATGGTATGGGCGTAACAGGTGTGGAAGGGGTTTTTAGGAGGTGCTGTGAGGAAACTCTCTCTGTCATGCGAGCAAACAAAGAAGCATTATTGACTATTGTTGAGGTACTATTGATTGAGAGCACATCCTTTGACCCTTGGAACATTGTATTCAGATGCTTTACAGAAATAGGCTTTTGCTGCAGGTTTTTATCCATGATCCTCTGTATAAGTGGGCCTTATCCCCTTTGAAGGCTTTGCAGCGTCAAAAGGTACTATTTGTGTGCCCAAGTCTCTTGTATTGATCTCCTATGAAATTGATTTCAATGTGCTCTAGAGCAGTAGTATGGGACAGAAAAATGAGATAAATGTAATGGATTCTGGTCTTCAGAACTATATGATTAATAATCCTAGAGTTTTTTCGTGGCCTCTGTGGAAAGTTTGGTCTTGTAAAGTTCTTTTTTCATCTACCTTTTGAAGCTGAAGGTGAGCAGCTGATAAGAAGAAATATTCATTATAAATTTGGTCTTAGCAAATTGTGCATGTATTCTATATGCATCTAGTTTTTTGGCCAATGCTGTATAAAGTGTCATTGTTTTCATAGATGCATATAGAAAATGTGCAGTAGAGGCAGTACAGTTCAGCCATTTTGGACTATTGGAGCATATGTTAGCAATCAATAACTTTAGATATATATATTGTTGCACTCTTCAGCTGTGGAATGTTCACGAGCCCTCTCCACAGTTGGAGGAAAACTCAGTTGCAGAATGATCACAAGTCCTCGTTGCATCTCTGCTGCTGAGACTTAAAATGCAGCATGTTTTACTTTAATCTGGATGACTTAGGAATTCAACATACAGAAAAGGTTATAGTGTTGTATGTATATTGAGACATATCTGTAAGTGTAGAATGGTTAGCTTCCTCAAACAAACAAAAAAAAACAAAAAATAAAAAAGCAAAAGACCAAACATTTAGCCAAGTCTAATATGAGATTCCTTTAGGTCAAAAGCTTTATACATGGTTCAATTTTAATTTGCATCATTTTCATGCTTTTCTTTCTTTTTTTCAGGTTCTTGAGCCATTCCTTTACATTTGACTTTTTACATTGGTGTATCATTTCACCATGATCCATAGTATGTCAGTGGCCAAACAGTTTTCTTATGATGTCCTTAAATTATGTGGAAATTTCTCTGTTGTATAGGAAACTGATTATGATTTGGAGACAAGCTTGGAAGGCTCAGAAGAAGATGAATATGAGGGGAACAAAGATGCTGCTAGAGCTTTGCTGCGTGTTAAACAAAAACTTGATGGATATGAAGAAGGTGAAATGAGAAGTGTGCGTGGACAGGTAATTAAATTGTTGTTACCTACTAGCTAATGGATCAGAAATAGATAATCCTCAGTCTTTTACCTTCCACCTTTATTTTGTTGGGTCTTGGAAAGGTGGAAGTGGCTTTCTGTGGGAGAGAGAGAGAGAGAGAGAGTTTGGTAATGGGGGAGAAACAAATAAGGAAATCAGAGGATTTCTTCAGAAATGGGAGAAAAAACACTAAAAAGACAGAAAAAGTAGAATTGGTTTAAGACATGGTTGGTACCGAGCATCTGGTTGTGAGTGCTTGGGCAGGGCAAAAACTAGCTTTGTTTCTGACAGGAAAAAAAATTAGCCAAACTGTTTTGTTGGGTTAGGTGGGAAACTTTCACATTGAAAGAGGAAGAGATACCTTGTTTGTGTAACTCCAGATAGCAAGAACAATATCATACTACTCCTCAAACAGTGTATTTCGGCTAGCATACAAAGAGAAATTTATGACGCGAATGTCTCTATCTAGAAATTCTGTTATTTATCTGCTTCCTATCGGTAAATTTTGTAATTATGATGGGAAAGCCGGCTTTCTTTAATATTTTGGTAACATAAACAGAACACTATTTGTGCTTTAAAGCAAAAGACTGCAGTGGTTGCTACGGTTATTTTTGTTCTTTAACTTGAACGTTCAATTTTCTTTTTTTTTTTTTTTTTTCTATTTCTTTTGGCAGGTTCAACAACTCGTACAAGATGCAATTGATCCTGATCGTTTGAGTCAAATGTTTCCGGGCTGGGGGGCTTGGATGTGATAACAACCATCATCCAAGATTGAAGTCTTCTGCTTCTCTAAGCATCATTTTTGGTTGCACTTCAGTCTTTTTGTTCCATTTATTTGGTGGTGTTCACGATGCTTGACTTCGTACATGCAGTGAGGCTGTAAGTCGAGCATTTTCATTTCACCTTTCAGTGTAAATATGTATAGGCACTGCATAGATCACCTGTGTAATATAATGAGTTCATCCTATTTCTCTATTAAAAAAAAAGAAAGGTTCATCCTATTTCTCTATATTCCTCAAGCTTCACTGACAAAACAGCCTTGGATTTCTTGTGGATGGTGACCATGACAGAGGCATATAAAGAAATACAGATATATGTAAATTCATTTTGGGTCATATATAGCGATCTGGAGTTATCTTCCATAATAATGTGTTTCTTTATCGCTATTGAATAAATATTGACAAATTTTATTCGTTATCCATACGAGTGAAAATTGATTTAAGAAAAATCGACTGTAGTGTTGATGTTAGAAGAATTCACCTCTTTAATGAAGTCGGTCTCTCTGCAGAATAAAAAAAAAAAGGAGAATGAGCTCCCGCAGACATATGACCTGAACGCATGTGATCCTTTTTTTTCCGTATTTTCTCCACTGCCGCTCTATGTCTGGTCCATTGCTTCTCAATTCTTCCATTGTTTCCAAGTTACATATATATATATATATATAGAAGCTTTTGAAAATCAAACTAGAGACTTTATGATCGCCTCCTAACCAAAGTCTTGTGATTAAGTTGAATCTTGAGAACACTCCTTTGTATTTTTACTTTTTAATTTACTCACAACCAAAGCCACAAAATTTGAAGTTGCAATCCACACTGCCAAGTACAGAATTTGATGTTAATTCCTAAAGTCCTATCTTCACTACGCTGCACCAAAAACCATCGCGGCCGATACATTACTATATGTTTTGCCCTCCTCTATTTTCTGAATCCCTTTCCTTGCCAAGGCGATACTAAATTTACTTGAGATTACATGCCTTTTGCCCTCCAAGACTGAGGTTGATGGCGGTGTAATATAGGCAACCATTTTTATCACTATGTGTTAGATCGAACTTTCAGGGCCTACAAAATGATAAAGTAGCATCATACTCTCAATTATTCAATTCCATTGCTCTGTTATATGGAAAATGAAGAATACCCTGAACAAAGTTTTGTTTTTACAGTAGGGAAAAAAGTCCTAATGGTCCTTCAACTTTTAGCCAGATAAAGTTTTAGCCCTTCAATAATTATGAGGAAACTTTTGGCCCCCGATCTATCAATAGTGTAAATTATTGACCCTTCTGTGAATTCCAGCCGTTATGAGTAACGGAAATGAGGACATTCTTGTCCGTGTAGAAATATTAATCGAGTAAACGACAGTAAACTCAAACTCCTGCTAAAAAATAAAACCATTTTCTCTAATAAAAATCTATGAAATCAAACTTCTCCTCAACTTTAACAATGCTACCCAAATGCAACAAATCCTAGAACGCCCATTTAAAGGAAAAAATTAAAAAAAATTAAGAAATTCCAAAAATTCCAAATTTTTACAGCCCAAAAGTCACTCTGTAACACAGATATGTACAGAACTTGTAAAACCAACAAATGGGTTTTTTGAATCTTACAAATGCAAAAAAAGTCAACATATTTACAATCATTAATTTTATGCCATATGAAACTCTTTAGGGGTGACCCCTTGGATGATAAAAGTAGTAAGCATTGTGGCTTCAAAGCAAAAGAAGAACAATAGCTGATGGGTCCGATGACATCCATAGCGGGTTTCCCAAATCCAATGATTCTTTGATCTTCTTTCCATTATCTTGATTGGAATCCTTCATTTTCTCAATAAACCCATCCTTCATCTTTTTCCTTTTCTTAAGAAACCCATCCTTGATAGAAGCGTGATACAGAAGATGAGAAAGTAGAAAAGCAAGCACAGAGAAGAAAGCATAAATTACATAGATCCATTGCCACCTCCTCTCTCCATTGTTGAATATTTGTCTTATTAGTATTTTTCTCTGTCACTCAATTTCACATGGAGAAAAGCACACAGAGGAGGAGGTACATAAGGTTTGGTTTCAGATCCACTGACTTGTGTGAAAACATTAAAAAGAGAATAGGAAAAATGGGATTTTTGAGGCTTTTTCCTGTGTATATTTGTGAGTTAATGTCCATTTTGGTTGAGGTGTCCGTTGATACTTTGGATATTCGATTAATATTCCTGAATGGACAAAAATGTCCTCATTTTCGTCACACATAAACGGCTGGAATTCACAGAAGGGCAAGCAAATTACACTATTGATAAATCGGGGGCCAAAGTTTACTCCTAATTATTGAAGGGTTAAAACCTTTTGTAGTTAAAAGTTTGAAAGTCATTGGGACTTTTTTCCCTTTACAGTAAGATAAGAAAGAAGTTCTATTTTCACGGTTGATGGTGGCGAAATTAGTTTATTTTTTATTGATGGATTTGGTATGGCGGTAAAATTGATATTGTTTGGCCCAATTTGGATGGAAGCACCTAATTGTTTGGATTGCAAAACCTCATGAAAGGTTTTTTCACTAAAGGTAAATTTTGAGATTTTATTAATAGAAGAACTCTAACTTTTATGTTGTGGAAGAGGGGGGAGGGGAAGGAATGGATTGGGTGGTATGGAGGGAGTGAGTATAAGTGAGATGTCCCGGATTCAAAACCTCCCACTTATACTTAAAAAACTAAAAAAAAAAAAAAGAGTTGTGGAAGATAGGACAATACGGTTGGGTTCTGGTATGGTTTCGTTTGGTTATTGTACTTTTTGCATTATTTAATATACAATTACATTACATTATTGTATTCAAAGTAAAAGTGGTATACATAATTAAAATATTTGATATATATTTAGTATGCCGTCTGGTATGGTTTTGTTTGATTATTATACATTTTATATTATTTGGTGTACAATTGTATTACATTATTGTATTCGGAGTAAAAGTGGTAGACATAAATAAAATATTTGATATATATTCAATACAACATTATGATATATCTGTACATTAAAAATTTTAACATATACAATAACTTAACAAAACTGCACAAAATACAGTTGTACTAAGTCTTTGTCAATTGTACGTAATGGCACAGGCTATCTATACCACAAAAGATACCTACAGCTTTCAAAGGCAAATATGCATGTACAAGGTAATAAAGCCTATCAAAGCACTCATGGGGAATAGCCCACCCCATAACCAGCTTCCAGTTCTCATGGCACTTAGGCACACTCCTCCAGGAGGCACCAATGAGCCAAATAGTTTCAATAATCTGATTTGCCATTGCCACAGTAGAAGCAACACCAGGTTCCTACTTCTCCAAATGTAGCGCACTGAGACAGCTAGAGCAAGCATACGAAAAATCTGTCAACAAAAGGATTGAATTTCCAATGTTCACAAATCCATGGTAATTCAAAAGACCACGGATACCATCTTCTGAATGCTGAAAGCATTCCAAGGATCTTCTGTCAAACTGCAGCGAAACTTACAATATTTTTGTAACTAAACAAGACTGATGGATGTTTGATGCTAAACTGCTGCGAGTATTACATCTTTTATGCCTGCCGTCCAGCAAGAAATTAACGTAATGAAGGATGAAAATTTTACGAGACCAGCAACTAAACGTCCAAACTGTTTTTCTTTATTCTTCTTTATATATTAATTTATTTATAGGACGAAAGATGGGTTTCCTTACGAGGGATGATGCTTCTAGTTTCAAGAAGTTGGCCGGCTTGCTTCAGAAAATCTTGAGTTGGGGCAAACAATGTGTGCAGAGTTATTGAGCTTTGCAACAGAATTTACAACCACAAAAAGATTAAGAAAGAAAATAACTTTGCAAAATATTTCATTTTGAGAGATTATATTTTCTTGTTTGCTTAAATTTAGATTGATTTGTAAAATTTGCAAATTAAAATTCTTTGGATCACCTGGTAATGCAATACTTACAACTGGTTGGTTATACACTAATAAAGGAGTGAGGTCAGTACGGTTGTGATCTATGTAATTTGGTGCAGTTGTTGTACATATTTAGATTTGTGATATACAACTCTATTATACCGTTGTATTGAATATAAGTTAAATATTTTATTCATATACACCACTTTTTTCATGAGTACAATAATGTAACGTAGTTGTACATTAAATAATGTAAAAAGTACAATAACGAAGCCAAATTGTATGAAACTCCAATAGCATTAGCTCCATTTTCAAAATAAATTAGGAGTTGCAGCCAAGTCATGTCACCGGTTCAGGATTCAGGTTCAAACCCACATAATAAAAATAATCAATTAACGATACGACTCATTTAACTTTTCGCGTCAAATTTGTTGATCTGAATCCAACCTATATATTTGCATGTTATCTAAACACGACCAACATTGACTCAAAATTTATATAGGGTTTAGGAAATCGTCCAACAATTTGTTAATGAAATTTGCTTTTTACAAAAAACAAAAAAAAGAAAAAAAAAAGAGATGATTTTGGATTTTTTGCAAATTGCCCAGAGTTGATCATTATTCGGGTTCCTAACCAACAAAAACAATATGTTAGGCTCAAATTATGTTTTTAGGTCATGCCAGACATGGCCACCTCTATGCATTATGCATGACAAAATATGCATTTCCGGACAAAAGAAAATAAAAGGCACAAAAACATAAATTCAGAATAACCTGTGTGAAAACTTGCGAACCAAGAAATAAACATTATCTTGATGAAAAAGCCTATAAATATCAACTATCAAGTTTCTTTAGCAGTACGTAATATGAATGTTAACATCTTGGGGCATATAATTCCGGAGGATTGTCTTACAAGCAAAAAAGCAAATTGACTCCATATTAATGTTAAATAGATGTCAATAATACTGCAAGAGATAGTAATAGTCTGGGGTTCAATCTTTTTAAGGAATTTGACCTGAGCATAAATAATTGAACTAAATTGTCGCTATATATATATATATATAGTGATTATTGTGTTTTTTCTTTGCTTTATATGAGATTTTTTAGTAAATATACAAGTACAAGAAAATCCCAAAATGGGTTTGAATAGTTTAAAGAATTTTACTTTTGCCCAAAAAAAAAAAGAAACAGCAAAATGAAAAAGATAAAAACTTGGCGGCCTATTGTTACCAAAACTTGGGAAGCAAGAAATACATTCATGTGTAGTCTTGTTGAAAAACTGGGACAAAAAAGTCCCTTTCTCACTACGTATTTAGAAAACGTCTACATATCTTTGGCAACCACTTCATAAGGAATCTAGCTGCTATTAGGTAAAGAGCAATTGCACCCAATACGAATGCAAGTTCAGTAAACATCAATAGAACTGTGATGGTAAGAGTTTTGGT